AGAGAGAGAGAGAGAGAGAAATAGCTCAGCCCATCAATAGAGAGTGAATTGAAAAAAAAATCACAGAAAATACATGATCAATTTTTGTAGCTCTATTTAAATATAACGCACCAATTAAAAACTTGTCAAAATTGGAACAGCTTCAGCAATTATTCTGTGACAACATTGATTGTACTCCAGTGAATTTGATGTCAAAAACAGACAAAGAAAAGAAAAACAGAATGTTGAGGCTTAAATTTGTGTGCTCCATTTTGCTTTTCCAACGGAGACGCGCGCGCATACGGACACAATACAGTGGTAACAAAAGCGAATACACTAGTGTTATTTGCGAATCGCATTACCCCAATGAAAATAAAATGGCGTTGAAATAGGTTGATTCCATTGAACAGCGGTCACAAAAGGGAAGGTGGCAGCGATTTTCGTGTGCCGCTTTTTTTCTAGCTCACCCCATTTCATTCTCCATGCTTCTCTCTCTCTCTCTCTCATTCCTACTCCTCCAATTTGCCCGTTGCTGGCATTTGTTTTCATGCCATTGCATAAACTCTCGCATTCAATCAACTCAGGGCCTGATGATATTTAACCGAGCATAATCTTTTATTCGAGTTTTAAAACTCGAATCCCGTTCTCCATCGTTTTTTTTTCTCGCCGACCTTTCTCTCATTCTTCAACAAATTTCTAATTTGCATCCACTTATTTAATGTTAAATTTTTATTCGGCACAAAATTAAAACGGTTTTGCTCCATGTTTCTTACCACTTTTACCTTTTTTCCATTGCCTCTCTGCATTGTAAGTGCAGGCGCGCGCGCCAATGATCTTGGGTTGTTTTTGAGATAATCTTAATCCAGATAAGACATCAATTTTCCCGCATTTTCATGCTGAGCTGACGACCACTTGGCCTCATGAATATTTGTTATTTCTTTTGCCTCTTGTTTTTTCCTATTTCTCTCTCTCTCTCTCTCTCTCTCTCTTAACTTGGGAAATAGCTTCCAATTCATGACGCTGATAAAAATGTTGATCGAAAATGTGATTGATGTTAGATTGATGTTATTAAAAAAATGGAAGAACAATACACAACATCGAAAATGCTATTATCGGCTAAGTGTGCGATGTGAACGTTTTACACACAAGCAATTCGCGCGAGAAACTGGGGAATATTTGCTCCTATACGGAATAAACATAGAACACTCTGTATTGGAGTAAACGTGTGTGCGTTCACTCCAGTTCAGAACGGTTTCTAAACTTACTAACACATGCGCAAGCTTGCTAGTGACTCAGTAGTGGAGTAATGTCAATACGTTTATTCCAGTGTGGTACAAACCAGCGTGCTATGGAATAAATGTATGTCTTTTTTCCCCTACTGAGTGACTACCAAGCTTGCGCATGTGTTAGTAAGTTAAACAACCGCTCTGAACTGGAGTGAACGCACACACGTTTACTCCAATACAGAGTGTTCTATGTTTATTCCGTATATGAGCAAATATTCCCCAGTTTCTCGCGCGAATTGCTTGTGTGTAGCTACAACGAAGGAAAAAAACACTGTATTTAGCGAAAAACGACATATTTTCCCGCTTATAGAGTCCTTTGGCTGCTGAGCAGTAGTATTTTCTTTCTATCTCTCTCTTTCTCTCTCCATCAATTCGATTCTTTTTTTTTCGCTCTTTCAGTCAGTTGATGGAAAACTGGTTGAATTCTTATTTTTAGAACCGAGATTTTAATTAACACATTTGACGGTCTGAGAAGAAGCCTACTAGCATGCAAACTCCGTATAAGGAGGCCTGTTATGCTTTTGCGCTCGCTGTAAATATATTAGGTTTTTGCGCTCGCAAATTTGCTGTTCGCCTTTTGACTAAAAAATTTCTGTGTTTGTGTTCTGCGCACAGGTTTTGTAGGAAAGGTTTTTCTTCTCAGGCCGTCATTTTAATGAAGCTTTAACTGGTTGAGTTTATTTAGAAAATTTCAAGCTGTGCAATTTGTATATTACAATGGACCGTTTTTTTTTCTCTCTCTTCTATTTCATTTCAATTTCAGTTGCATACACATGAAATGGTGGAAGTTTGTGCCAAAATTCTCTACCAAGTTGAATTACAACGAGGAAAAACCGAGCACATGTGGGGCTTTTCGGTGGAAGCGGAACTCATTGAAAATGCTGATCGTCAAGACGAATTATGCTGCTATGTGAGCCGTGTTGAGGACAAAAGTGTTGCCATGCAAAACGGTAATTATCAATTAGTACACTTACTCAGTTAGTCATTTGTTGTGTGTGCGGTAACTTTTGTTTTTTTGGTTTTTGGTTTGGTATTCTGTGATCTGGAAAAATATGAAAACTGCATTAAAATTTCAAGCATTTGTACCTAATCGTGTATATATGTGTCGTTGAGAATAAAAATGGGATTTGCCGAAACCGCGTGTTTTTATGCGATTCATTTTTGTGTTTCTGGTACGAGATATGTGGCAAGTATCTCAAGCAAAGATGACAATCTTGAAATGTTCTAAAATGTCTTCTATCTCTTACCAGGAACACATAAATGATTCACATGTAAACGAGCGGTTTCGGCTAATCCCATTTTTATTCTCAACGACACATCTGTGTATGCATATGTAAAAATAGGTTTTGTTTTTTCTACCCATATTAACCGGCCATTCATTTGAGATTGAAAACTAGTTTTGCCTCAACATTCTCTGTATGGAATGATCATTCAAAAGTTTTATCCATATAAATTAAGTTGACCGCTACGCTATGTATCTATTATCCATCAATGAGTCACTTTTACTACTACTTCTGTTTTATGTTTGTAATTTTTGTGCACTTGTGCATTTTGCAACGTTTCGCTCCCAAAATATGTGTATGTATATTGTTTGGCTGGAAAACAATGTGTAGGCTGATACATGCGTAAATATTTGCAAACCATGGATGCATCCAAATCCAATGTCCGGTTTTAAAATCACCATAAATGTAAATGAGATGAATAGCAGTACACACAGACAACGCCAACGACTCCATTGTATTTATACTCTACACTGGCACTTCGCGCGCGTTAAACCCTCCATTTATTTAAATCAATTTTTATCGTCAAGATGCCATTGGCGTGGCATACATTGCCATTTCACTTCGACACCACATAATTTCAACACTTGGCAATTATTCTGCAAATGAGCCATTAAACATTTATAGATGATGTTTGTGCACATTGTCATCACAAAATATTGATAGGCACAACGTGGGGAAATGACAATGGTGCCAGAACCATGGTGCAATAAGCAACACAGCACACAATCATTCGGGCTAGCAAGAGAAAAAGAGTGAGAGAGACAGAGAGAGAGACAGAGAGAGAGAGAGAGAGAGAGAGAGAGAGAAAGAAAGAAAACAAGAAACGCATACACAATGAATAAATAACGAAACAAAAGTTGTACATGAAAGCTTTCATCTCGTTTCGGATTTCAATCCTAATCTCTGGATATAGAATTGTGATAGCAACGAAAAAAAAATGTGAAGGGAAAAAATGTGTACGAGTATTCTAGTTCGTTCAGGTTTGCTATAAAAATGTTATTATTTTTTTATGTGTTTCTTTTCTCATCTGTCACACTTACAACTATATTGTCATTTCATTATTTATTCAACGAATAGTTGAAATTGTTATTGTTCTCGCCTCGTTGTACTTATTTTGCTGCTTCATCGTCATCATTGTCGTCGTCGTTTGTCTGTTTGCCTTGTTCGCAACATAAAATATCCGTTTATAAAAGATTTTACGGTGAAAAGGGAATGAATTATGGTTGCTATTGTGCCAGTGCCATTAATAAACCCAGCAACTATTTTGCGTGCGATTTTTTTCTTCTGTTTTTGCTTCTTCTTCTTTGCTCTCATTCTGTCTCTCTTTGTTTCTCTCTTCCTCATTGAGTGCTTATTCTCATTTGAATATCTTTGCCTGTCACACTGTTTCCTTCGCGCGTACCTTGAACCTGCAAAGAGGCTTTGGTGTTTAGTCGATGCGATTTTCGGTTTTCGTATGCTCCTTAGTTCAAACGCAATCTGCACAAATAAAAGTAATGATTTTTTTTGCTGCTTCTGCTGCTACTGCTACTGCTGCTGCTGATTTCTGTTCGCTCTACCATAAGTATAGTCCGCATTTCAAATATAATCCAAACAATATTAATATGTGCACGACAAACGGCAAAGGCAGCGCAAAGCGAGTTGTGTCGAGTAAACAAATATTTTCATGCAAAATGAAATTTTACAAATATTTTCAATTTAAACTGCATTCTCAACTTTACACTGCTGCAATTCGTATTTTTTTCCTGCCTTCTTCATCTCCGCTTGTGTAAATGTATTTGTATATACATATACTTTTGCTTTGAATTTGTGTCGCCGGTGTGTTTACGTTTCAACAAATTGTCTGCATACTCGTTTCCACTGCATTTGTCTGGAGCTTGTTTTGATGTGCCGTTCGCTGCTTCTTCCTTTTTCTTCTCTTCTTATGACAAACACAAACTGATGCACCGCTTGCTGCTTACCGCGAGTCGACATGTGCGTGTGAGTATTTGTGTTTGAGTGTGCAAATTGCGTTTCCATGTGTGCTTGATCCGATATTGACGGCTGCGAATCAACTCGCGCACTGGCGATTAAAAAAATCAGACGCACTCGGAAAAGCAGGCGAACGAGCGTCGCTCGAGCGAACGAGCGAAAAGGAGAGAGCGGCAAAAAATGAAGCAAAGAGAAACCCGGTTTGGTGTTTGCATTGAGAATGAGACGCTATATGGGTATTCATCACGAATGTACATGTCATACTTTGAATTTTGTGATCGTATATCATACCATCGTGAATTCTCGATTATGTACGCAAACTGTGAAGGCAAAATGGAAAATTTGTGTTTTTCCATCTCAATATATACACACACGAAATAAAAAACATAAACGCAAAAATACAAAGCGAGAAAGATTGAACATTCCACTTTATGTTCATGCGATTCGGTAATTCGAGCTCTTTTTTCCTTACGCATTTCGATCGTTTGCCATTCCAATAGCATTGATTAGAAAATGATTGTAGGGTTCAATTTGAATAAATAAATATGCCACCAAATGGATTATTTTGGTTTGAATACAAAACATTGTATCCATTGCAGAAAAAAGGTGCATTTTCACCCTTTGATTTCCACTTAACTTATTACAATGCTGTGATTTTCCACCGAAATCTAACAAACAAATAGACCAATCGACCCAAAACACCTTTCAATTGCCATCCAAACACCTTACAGTACACGCATTCGCAAATTATTCAAATTAATTACATCGCATCCTAGTCAAACGCAGCGCAACAATATCATTAGTTTCCATTGCAAACAGTTTTTACTTGCACTTTGATTCGGAAACGAAGAGAAAATGTTAAGCGTTTTTTTATTGCTGCGTAAAACTGACATCAACAAGAGCTAAATCAAATAAATTTATTCATTGTCAAACAAACTTGAGAAAAACCATTCTAGAAATTCATTTTGTAATGTAATGATTTCCATTTCTTTGGCCGTTAGTTTTCTGTAAGTTCAGTTTAATGATAGAGATCGTTTCATTGTTAGCTACAAAACTCTATAAATTAAGTATCCAGAAACAAACATGATAAAATGGGGAATTGAACATTTTTACATTAGGTTACATTAAAATCTTGACTTAACATCCGGTTTGTGTAGTTGAAATGTGTCAACACATTTGAAAATAGTCTCAAGCACTGAAATGAGAGTAGCTGGTCGCTCTTCAGGAGAATGAAATCATTCTTTTTAAAACTACTATCCGAAACCTATCTCATCACTTTTAGTGCGGTTAATATCTTTCCATTTTGTTCTTCTTTCCATTCTGAGCAATTCATCACCTTTCGGCCTTTTAATGCAAACGATGTGGGATCGAGAAAATCTCAACCTTTGCGATTTGTTCACGATAAAAGTACAAATAAAGATGAACATTTGAAGGGGAAAACTTCGTTTTTTTTTTAAACAGAGCGTCACTTCACTCAAACGACCTTTTCTACGTTCCAATTTCAATACAAATGCTGCGTAAGCAAAATATCGTTTTTCACTCTCGTTTATTCAGCTCATGGCTTGAAGCCATTGCCGCGAAATCGAAATAGAATTGAATTGAACTGAACATTGAATGGAAAATGGTCGACGTCAGCGATAAATGGTGTGAAATTCAATAATTCTTCTTTATTTCAGTTTGAAATTGTATGGCTTTAAAATTTCAATCGCTTTTTTAACAATTGGGAACATAGTAGAGTTAGAGAGAAAATTCAAAACGAAAAATCCAAATTGTGTGAAATTAACAAAGATATAAAAAAAACTGTATTTTTTTTTTAAATATAAAAGCACTTCTTACAACAATTGACGTCATTGTTCTTCTTCTTTTCTACTTTTCTGTCGAAACACAAATAAAAAAATCAAACAAACACTTTCTTCCTGCAACATTCAATTCTAATTCGGTTTACAAATTTGTTGTATGTTTTTTCTCTCTCTATCTCTTCCATTTTTCTGCAGGCTGCTCTGAGGTTATGAATAGCTCAGGGATTTTTAATACCGATTCTCAAGGTAATTTTAACTTTTCCACAACATAAAAAAAAACAACAACAACTACAAGCCAACAACAACAAATTCAAACACAATCAAAAATAAATACATTTTAATTGCTCAGCACACAAAATACACACACGATACTAACGACCATAGGCTATAAAGTTTTTTTTTTACTGCAAAATCGAAATAACATGAAACGCTGACGAAAAAAAAATTGATTTTTTTTCCATTGTTTCGTTTTCGATCAAATTGACTGTTTCAATATCAGAGACAGGCATCATTCGCGCATAATTCAAAGGAAATACTTCGACAACTATATCCATTTAACAATGAGGGCTAAAAATATTTGTTAAACATTGGCCAATCATAGAGTGTATCGCATGGTTTTTTTTTAAATGAATAAAAACATTAATAGATATTCAAATCCATTTATTTGAATAGCGACAATGAAAAAAAATCTTTGTGTTTTTATATCCTGTCTGAATTCATATGCCGTATGTGCAGCAAAACTTAGTTGTAGCATTATGGGCTAAGTAGGGGAAATTAGATTTGCTTGTAGTTCACCTTAATTAACTGAATTCAATGAGAAGCATTTTCTCCAATTTTTCAAGTATTTCAATTTGAACGAACAGAAAAAGGGATGTAAATAAAATTCATGTCTGTTATCTAGGATCTTCCAGTCATGCATTCAGATAATAAAAATCATATAACTTCATTTTGTATGGAAAGAATCTTTGTAAAAAAGTTGTTATTGGATGAATTGAGCAAAAAAGCATTAACGCAGCGAAAACATTTTTCCTTACGCACAGAAAACGTTAACTAGTACAATTGTTGAAAAAATTGTGTTCAAATTGGCTGTATGTGATTATCATTCTTTGTCATTTCGATTGTTTCTTCTTTTCTCTGCTTAATAGGCATTATCAAGGGTGACGAAATTATGGTAATCAATGGTGCGATTGTATCTGACTTGGATATGATGTACATCGAAAGTGTTTTACAAGAGGAATTCGCTCTATGCATGATGATGAGGTAATTTTATCCGATTAAATCTCACCTTTTTTTTGCCCCATTTTAATGTCTGTGTGCAATGCACACTTTGCATTTCCGTCTATGAAGTAAGAGCGAAATTTTTAAATGGCATCTATTGTGTATGATTTTCAGATCATCGCGTACTGAGCCGCCAGACCTTGTTGGTATAATGCGTGTGACTGATGATATGATTGATTCACTTGTGTGCCCACCGCCACCGAGTGAACCACCCGCTATGAGTGACGAGATGATAAATGAACTGATCGTCCCGGCGCCCGGATGGAGTGAGTAGTCTTTTAGTTCATTATTTCAGACAGACTGTCTAATAGTTTGTAAGCCCCATTTTTTGGCACATCACCTGTCAAAATTGCAAAATTGCTACTCAAAAGTAGCCATAGCTTCTTTTTTTTCACAAAGCAATTGAATGACCTTTCAATATAATAGCTTTCATATTGAATAGTTAAAGTAGGCTGTTGTTGCCTATTGTTTTATTTTGTACTGAAAACATTCGTTTGTCAAAAGACAAACCGGCCAATTTGTACGAATATTCATTTCGAATATGTGGTTTTTAAATAAACTTTTTGAATTAGGTAAAGATGTATTTTCACCTGAAGTTGAAAGCTCACCAGCACCATCGTCGACCGAACCACAGAACATTCCAACTGGTGTTAAGCAAACCAGTCGCACCAGCAGCTTTGAAATTGAGAATTTACTGAAAACAGCCGAACAGGTAAACTGAATTTTATTCGTTAATCCTATTTGAATTGGAAAATTTGTGCGGTTGTACGTTTGTTGATGATTGTGAACATTGTTTGGACATATGAATGGTGCACTCACATAGATATCAAATTAATTCTATTATTTTATAAATTTAATGGGCATTTTCCGGTGGAAAAATCAATTAGATATAATGAATGTGACTTTTTTTGGATTGCAAAAAGTGTCTGCCATATGTTGAAGCTAAAGTTCTTGACTTTAAACTTCACCGTTTATTATTTTGGTCCAATTAATACACAAACGTCCAAAACAAATAGTCATGTATACAAAGCTGGCCGATTTTCAGCTTTGGTGCAATGAATTCATCCAATTGAGTTTTCGCGTTTTTCTCCCCCAGATTTGTTATGATTTCCATTTTAAATTTAAATACAAATTTTGTTTCTGAATTTTTCGACTGAGCTGACCTCAATGAATTATTATCATAGCGGACGTAATCAAAATCTCATATCATAATTATACGTATAGTGATTTGCCTCTGTATGCGTGCAAACCCGATTCATCCGCCTCTCGCTCTCCATTTGGCATCACATGCCCAGCGACTCATTTGTATTCAGTTCTATTGTTTCAATTCATGGTGACTTTCGCGAGGAACATTAATATTATGTTGATGAGAATTTTCGAATTGTTGCATATTAATTATATCGACTGACGTGGCGCAATAGTTATTATTATTATCGACATAAAATTTAATGCAAACTAAAGTCCGAAACGCCCAAAAATTTCAAATGTATGAATGGTGAATCAATTCATTTTTATTTCCATGTAAATGTATTTACCCGAGATTGTGATCTACATGAATTGTTTTTTTTTTCAAACATAATTTCGAGTGCTCACGTTTTACCATTTAAATCATAAAAATAGCAATTGTTGCAGCAAGTGTTATGTAGAAGTAATTACTATCTGAACGATGTTTAAAAAAAATTATATGCTGTCACATCCATACAAATGTTGCGAAATGAATTAACGGTGGAAAACGAAAGGCTATCAAGATAGATTGGATTAATAATCCAATATATTTATGGGAGGAAGATAGAAAGAATGGAGAACGCTTGCAATGATTCGCCTTCAACGCCATAATTACTTGTCAGATCAGAATCATGCGATCTGTGACATTTGTTTTTCACCTTCTCACACGCTCGAACGTCGTGCTGTGCTGGTATACGGCAACGATGGTATGTGCATACTTTGAACATCATCCAGGTGACAGATTCCGAGATGGCAATATGCTAATATTCATACTTTGGATTCTAGTCACATAATATAGTCTGGTACTGTGTTTGGGTGTGTGGTGGTATGAATGTGTATTTGTGTATGCCATTGGATTTTGATTGTGAGCTTTGAACAAGCTAGTGGGAAATTGCTCTCGAACAGCAGTTTTCTCTCCAATTCTCTCTTTATATGCATATATATAAAAGCATTTTGTGTGCATTTCAGGTCACCGGCTTCTGTCGATCACCACAAGAAACCAGGAAATCAAGTCCAACAGGTTCAATAACATCATCCGTATCGAATGTTATGCTAACACCATCACGACAACTGACCGATGCCGAAAAGTTACGCAAAGTCATTCTGGAATTAGTTGATACGGAACGAGCTTACGTGAAGGTAATTTAACATCTGGATTATTTATTGCTAATTTATGTTCAGTTCGATAAGTCAATTGAATTTTGGAATTTAATCAATTTTATTTAATTCGGCTGGTAATGTGTGCAATACCATAAGCCATGGCAAAATTTATGATTGATTTACACAAAATTAGGTTGCAATTTTCGGTTCACCGAAACAAAAATAATATTTATAATATTTAGAACGGATAACATTTGATGATTGGTCTGAACTGTATTTTACCACATAAATATGCACCCCAAATGATACAGCAAAAATATAGTATTCAAAACAATTATCATATTTTCAAATTTAGTCGAATAATGTTTCGCTGTTATTTTACTAGTGCACTAGCAGTATATATAAAAAATGGCACTGCTCATGCAAATTCTATATGTAACGAAAGGATAATGATTCAACGTTAAAGAAATGTGGACTGAAAATCCACGAACAATGATTGTATGAAAGCCCGTGATCGAATGCTGACTGCGTTTAGGCTTAGATATGTGCATTGTATTGCCAAAGGGTAAAGGTTCAAACGAAGCTAATTTCCGTTTGTTGAACATTCCAAAAATTATTCAACTGTTCATCGCCTTAATTTTGTGGAAAACATAATTTGCATGCTTCCATTGCTTTGGTGCCTGACGAAGCCAATAGCATGAAAATACAGCGCAATTGCAACGGCAAAAGTGGGCAAAGGAGAAACAAAAAATATAAGCGTTGAAAGAAAAGGAAGGAGTTTGATTGAGTCATACAAATACACACACGCACACACAAAGCGAACAACTATCCAAGCATCACAAATGTTCCATTAGTCGATTTGCAGCATAAGTTCGACAAATACAATTTGATCGAATGGTGATATCATGTGTATGAGTTGCATGCCCGTTTAACACACACATCCAACGGTGTGGTACGGTGCGGATACGTTCCGTTTCTGGATGAGTACACATCATTCATTCTTGTCATCCTATTTTGAAACGATTTGAATGCTCGCCTCATCTACTGAAGTCGGTTTCAGTTTTTGCCACACAATCACATTCTTCAACGTAAGACAGGAAATATAACATAAAATCGACAAACGATAGCGTCTTTCCTTTTGTTTTCTTTCTAATTTGTGTGTGTGTGTGTGTGTGTGTTGTCACTATTCATTGGATTCTGTGATGGCAGCATCAGCAGCGATAACAGAAGTACAGTTTGGCATGATTGAAATCGGAGGAAGAAAAACAAATAAAAAAGCATCTCGTCTATCTTTTGTTGGATAACAAATTCGGTTTTTATATGTGATTGAATCACTTCATTTCTGCCGGATCCAAGCACTTGTATCGAATACATTTATTGGCAGAAATTTGTTGCGCTCGCGCGTCGACCAAATTGTGAATGGCTGGGTTGTCAAAATGAATCAGCTAGACAAATATGCTAAATGAAAACGACACATACGTATACAGTACACAGTACACAGAAAGAAGAAGACAAATTCATCGTTTGACCGACATTTTATTTGCCGCATTCATCCAAAGGAAATCGATTTACGTTTTGTAAACGAAAGATATTTGCGGTTAATTGAAATGTGAGTCGATGAAAATACTTGGGATTGACACAAAAGCAAAGGTATGACATAGCAATCGAAAGAAGTGTATCTATATGTGGACTGATAAAATTCAGTGCAGAAGCGAAAGGGTGATTCAAATTCATTAGTGACAGATTTTCAACAATAGACCGAGATCTAATCGTTCACACTGAAATTGTCATTTACCTGTTCGGATACGTTGTTATCCGGTGCAATGAGCGACAATGGGCAAATATTTTCAAAACCATTCATTCCAATTCGACAACCACGTGGAAAAAGTAATTTCAAGTGCACTCATGATGAACTCGATTTTAAATGGCATTTTTAGCTTTGGTTCAGTGTTTGTGTCATTATTAACTGTATGTGGATATCGCCGGATTGTGGAGTGTCCCGATGAAATTTGGTCGTCGTGAATAAAATGATGGGTGAACAGTATTAAATCCAAATAAAATGTGAAAATCACAAAATCGGAGATGATTTGCTGTATGCCATCAGCATTTGCCGCTGGCGAATATCTATGTTTGATGTAGGTGTATGTGCAAGTGCATGCTATCCGCGTACGCACTGCATAATTGATAAATGGCATGCATTTCGGGCTTCTTGCTGCTGTTTCGAGGTTGTAATCATTTTAAGAATTTCATTGTTTGCGGTTTTGCCTGGAAAATTATTTTGGCTGAGATTTTCCATCAGCGTCAAACCAATATTCAACCACAAATGTGTGTACGTGCATGTGAACGTTCACGTTGAGCGTTCTTATATGGTAGTGGATGACAATTTTCAGCTAGTTTTTGACATGCATCATAATAGAGAATTCGAATGCTCAATTGCTCATTCATCTCTTGCTTTCATGTGATTTCCCTTCGTCGCATCGTTTGTTCTCTCGCTCTTATTCCCACTTTTTGTCCATTTGTGTGCGAGTGTGTATCTGTGGTGAAATTCAGTTGGAAACTCATTCATTTTGACACCAAAACCGGATTTTGTACCACCGCAAAATACAAATACCATCCAACTATTCGCTTTTAATCGGCAACTACAAAAAATATTTATTTTCAAAGATGACGACGATGACAAAAAAAATGCATTCAGCACATAATCATCTAGTGTTATTCACATAGTCCTTTGTTTTCTGAATTGAAAACTTTTTGATGATATGCACTCATTTTAAGTTGATTCGATTCCGAAAATTCTTTTTCTCATTTGAATCAATCTCATGCCTATTGGTTCAATGGCAACAAATTAGTTAGCAATTATTTATTTCTCTCTCTCTCTCTCTAAATTACAAAAACGTGTACGACCATTTATTTCAGCATTTGAACAACTTGCTCGAACACTATTTGGAGCCATTGAAGCGCGAAACATTCCTATCGAATGCCGAAATAGCAGCACTCTTTGGTAATATACAGGAAATATTCACATTTCAACGTCAATTCTTGCAAAATCTGGAGGAAGCACTTGATTTAGAGCCAGACTTCCATAAATTTGACCATTCAAGCCAATTCAAGGTAAGATTTTTTTTTGCATATTTATTAGAGATCCAACTTTTTTGTCTATTTATGAAAGAGAATGGCAGGCAGAATAACGGAGACAATTGTCAAAAACTCTTCTCTCGCAGTTTTATAATTTAAATAAAATTCCAGTGACCAAATAATAGTAAACGACGGAAGAAAAGGCGATTTTGATTGTTGCTTTTTTCTCAAAGGGATATTGCAACTTTTTTGACCAGAAAAAACGCCATCTTACGTCGTGCCCGTAAAATATTTTACTGTACATTTAGATGGTAGAGCTTGAACAAAAGTTCGACACTATGCATAAACTTGGAAAGAGCTTGATAAACTTGATAAAATACATATATTTTATGGTCGCTGCAATACCCCTATGTTTTTTCTCGGTGTCGTTTGCAAGTTTTCCGTAAATTCGATTTAATGCATTTTTTTTTTCTGGTAGTATATTAAGCTGAAAAGGGTCTGAGTTCGAAACAAATGAGAAGAGAGAATGAAGAAGAAGTGAAAAGAATAAACAGAAGATAGTCATTGTTTTTGGGGTGAATGAATCTTTTACTTTTAATATAGTGAACTAGTGGCAAAATAGCAAAAAGGAGCTGCTGAAAATATGGTGACTCTTTTGTTCGACTTTTCATTTATAACAAGTGAGAGAAAAAGGAAGTTCGGTCGTTGTTTCCATATGCAAAACTTTTTGCTTTTTGCAAATTTCTGATTCAATTCTCACCTAATTTTTGTCTCTTTTTATTTCTCCCTCTGTATCGTCGTCATCGTTGCTTTTGTCGTTGCCATAATTTAATGTATTTTTATTTATGTCACACAGAATGTTCTCTTCTCCATTGGATCTGCATTTTTGTACTATGTCAACCACTTCAAATTGTATTCATCGTTCTGTGCGAGCCATAGCAAAGCACAGAAAGTTCTGCATCCAAGTACGTATTCAATCATGAATGAAATAAAGAAAAGATAATAAAATTGCATTTTCTACCAACCAATCAACCAACCAATTAAATAAAATGATTAAAATAGAGAATTGAACAATATGACAAGTGTAAATTAATTTGTTGCCAGCTAAACGATTGGTTGGTCTTATTTGATATCCAACTGATACATTTCCCATTTCTTCCCAATACAATTCGTTTCTGTCGTTTGTCCTTTCGTTCAGATGAAGGCAATCAAGCGCTTCAAGAGTTCCTAATTGCGCGCAATCCCAAACAACAACATAGCAGCACACTAGAATCGTATTTAATTAAGCCAATTCAAAGAATCTTGAAATATCCATTGTTGTTGCAACAGTTGAGAAACCTAACGGATCCGCGTTGTGAAGAACATATACATTTAGTTGGTGAGTTATATATCGCGTTTGCAAATCAATTTCATGCGTGTTTTTACCGGAAATTGCTTGATAATTATTGACACGCATTTCGTTTCTCTCTTTCTTTCGTTTTGTTTCTGTTCCTTTGTTCGTTCCGCTGCAACAGAGGCGTTGAAGGGAATGGAAAAAGTAGCGGAACATATTAACGAAATGCAACGAATCCACGAGGAATATGGCGCGATTTTCGATCACTTATTCCGACAGCATCAAAAATCGTGCAAACAACCAATTGACTTGAGTCCAGGTACGCGTGCCGATCAAATTCACTCTTTAAATTATTGGGATTGATTTGAGTTTTTTTGTTTGTTTTGTTTCTCAACTACAGGTGATCTTCTGTACTACGGTGGTGTTGAATGGTTGAATATATCAGATTTCTTAGGTAAAATCAAGAAAGGCTTAGAGCTGCATGCAATGTGCTTCGTATTCAAATCGGCTGTTGTATTTTTGTGCAAGGAACGATTGAGACAAAAGAAAAAACTAATGGTAAATTAACCGAATTCTATTGTTAGCAAGAAATGTTTAAAATTTCAATAATTGCATTGGCATTTCGTTTAGGGTGTTTCCAATAAGAATTCAACGAACGAAGTGGAAATCATCAGATATCAAGGTAATTTTGGTTAAAGTTTCAAGAAGAAAAAAACATATATCAAAAAAAAAAAATTTATTTGAAACACATACGCAACAAATTTTTTGCTCCAATTACAAACCACATTCTTGAAATCGTTGTTGAAAAAGTGTTGCAATTTTTCAATATAGTCCAAAAAATTTATTAAAAATATTTTAATTTAAAATTTAACAACATGGGTACTTAATTTTTCTTTTTCTTCTTCTGGGGGCGCCAGTGCTCATACCCGTTACTGAAGTCCAAGTGCGTGCGTCATCGGCAAAAGATATGGATTCACATTTCTTGTGGGAATTAATTCATTTGCGTTCGCAACTCCAACGACGTTCCGAAAAAGTTTACGTACTATCGAATAGTACGGCCGATTTTCGTAATGCATTCCTCAAGACGATACGTCAAATTATTCGTGAAAGCGTTCGAAATATGTCAATACCAATGAAAGGAATGGGTAGCAATAGTTCATTGGCCGATTTGCCACCGGTTCATCGTGGCTCGACGGGCAACTCACAAACTCTAGAAAGACCTAAGCAACAAATTGTAATTGTAAAATCTCACATTCTTTCTATTCACTCAATGTTCGATAGAATGACATAGAATCGGTTATAACTGTTGATATTTTTTTGTTTTTGCTACCAATAGCCAATAATGCAGGGCTCTCAGACTTTAGGCAAAACAAAGAAATCCAAAAATTCGCAACGACATTCAGCTGGTAATATAGACTATGACAATATACACGGAAGTCAAGAAGGTGAAGATGTGCCAATTCAAGTGCATACGGGCTTTAGAGTGCGTAGTAAAACTGTTGGAGATTCAGCTGGTAAATTATTTGTTATCATCATGAATTGTTGATGATTATGAATAGTTCATACATCGATTGACCTGTGGCATCTGTTTTTGCAATTTGCTGCAATTCACTTTTTCAGATCCGACAATCCGAAAGTATGGCGAACAAGAAAAGGATCCGGGCACAAAATCAGAAGGCGAAGAAGACTCCCAGCAAGGAACGATCAAGAAAATACTCGGCCGAACTCCAAATCATTTAACATTGAGGTAAATACTATTCGAAATAGAACGCCTTTGGTGGTTGTGCTCACGCGCAACAAAAATGAAACATACACACACACACACACACACACACACTTAAACCAAAGACAAAAAATAACGCCCTGAAATTTCAACCATACATTTTTTTTGTAGCACCACATCGACTTTGTCTGTAGGAAGTACCGGTAGCCAAGCACGTTTAATTCAATCGTCACATGCTCCAGCCACGTATCAGCCGGTTTTAATGAAAGATTTAGGTAAGCTCAAATCACCTAGCAAAGAAACCAATGTCACACAATTATTTGAAAATGATGATAAGACTGTGGTTGGCGGTGGTGTTGGCGGCGATGATGAAGAAAAATTCAGCGAACAGGTAATGGATCGTCATTTGAGCGAATTAGTTACTGATGAAACGAGCACCATATGCGATATAGCTCAGTATATGGCCAATTTGAAGGAGAAGCACATGGAATCGGAGCAAAAGCTCGAGTCTGGTGCCACTGCTCGTAGTAAAAGTTGTCTGAGTCGAGGCAGATCGACGGAAGCCGATGTCGAATCGGGTACCGATGACAGCAACAGCAAAGGTCAAATGGATAGTTTGAAACTATCGTCGGAGGAAGACGATATGAGTCATGTGGTGATCGATAGGCGTGTCGATAAAGTGTTCAGAAGTGAAAAATTGGTCATAAAAGAGCCGGAGATTAAACGTCAAACGTTGAAATCGCCTCGACAAAGCATTCAGCTGATTCATTCGCCGGATCGAAGTAGTGGTTTGAGCCCAATCAAAATAATCAAAGTGAAATCGCCACGAGGCAGCATGGATTCGGGCAAACGGTCGAGTGTCAGTTTGAGCCGGGATAATTCACGTGAACGGCCCACCAGCGGTCGAATTCGACGTGCATCGGAGGGTGGAATCTTGAAAACAATGCATTCCAATGAACCGCCGGCGATTAGCGGTGGAATTCTGAAACGAAGCATTAGCCCAAAAGCAAAGTCACCGGAGCGCCAGAGTAGTCTGTGTTCACGAAAATCCTTAAGCCCTGGCACAAGTTTCGATTCACGATCACCAGACAGATGGTTATCACCACACAGCAGTTTTGACAATCGTTCGCCAGATCGACGATCCTCGGAGAGTTGTTATGCTGATCTCGATTTTCAACATTTCCATAAAAACGGTCATATCCGCAGTAATCAAAGTAGTTTCGAGTCACGGTCACCGGAATGCGATCGAAAACGCAGTTTGAGCGCACATAGCAGTTTCATGCAGCCACCAAGAAATGTGCACGAAACACAACAATACCAATACTATCCAAATGATTACCGTGCCAGCTCTCGGTCACCGGAGCGCAAGGGAAAACGTCTATCAAAATCACTCGAACGACCGCCCGCTAAACAAGTATACTATACTTATCGTGACGGTTTATCGCCCGAACGAATTTATCGAATCGGCCAACCGATTCGTTCACAGTCCGCCGACAATGGCATAACTCGTAATGGATTGATACTGACACGTTCGAATGAATCGTTGGCACGTTCACTCGAGCATCCAACGTGCGTTGAATGCTTATACCAACAGAGAAAAGTGGTGCAGCAACAGAAGACGCGTGTGCGTCAAAGCCGAGCACGAAAGAAGGTGCCACGAGGATCAGCACTTAATAATGGCCAATTGAAGTATCAACGTAGCCGCAGCAAATCCGAAGAGAGTTGCGTCGATTGCAATGACTTTTATGAAATTCACGTGTGAACCGTTAATCGCACGCAAAGAAATATTGGGAAAAAAAAACGAACAACACGCGAATTTTTCACGATAAACAATGAAAACAAAAATGCCTACAAAATGTATAAAAACACATTCGTTTCCTATGTCCCGTATGCGTATAGTCGTTGTAGGGAATATTGACAAAGAGAAAAATAAACGAATGAAAAAAAGAGAAATGATTGATGATTTGATCGCGGGTAATATAAAAGTACAACCGTTATATTAACTTATTTTTATCGATTGTTCTTACTTATTAAATTAATCTTTTTTTAGTTTTAAAGGCAAATTGTATATATTGTGCAAACGTGAATTGATTTGTTCCAAAATTTTAGATAGTTGATTATATTTACACATTTATTGAGATTAGTAATGCAAGCAAAGCGAAAGAAAAAAGAAAATGAATTGATGAGGAAACTAAAGCTAGCGATTGAACTCTCCTGAGAAGCACTAATCAAAGCATGTACCTAACAAATCGTAAATCTACACGAATTCACGCAACTAACACATAAACACAAAACATATGCACACTTCACAAATGAGCGAACGTGCATAATCCGCAATTTGGTCTATATGTTTTGTTGACTCAAACACATACACATACAAACGCACACGTACAACAAAACCAGCGCGGAAACCGAAAATCGATCAGATCGATGAAGAGTTTAAAACTTATTTTGTATGAAATTGTTCTACACACAAATGGATCGAATGCACAAACAATCGAAGCATGTAATTCATATATATATATATATATATATACATAATAAATAAAGTATTAGGTTAGCTCTACGACAAAGAAAGAGTGTATTTCGATATGTGCATTTTTTTCCGGTGCTTACTAAACCATCAATCGATTGGATGTGAATTCTTCAAAATCACATCGCTCTAATACGCTTAACGAATGAACACTATTTAGTAGTAAAATAGAAATAGCCCACAAAACATCTAATGGAAACGGCGCCACCACACCATTTAAAGAGAGAGAAAAAAAAATGGAAATGGAAATAAAAACGTAAATAAAACGCCATTGGAAAATGTACTCTTTCTTCTTCAGAGCAAAGCATTTAATTGCCCCGATAAAAACCAAGTGTATGAAAATAAATTGCAGCTTTTAAGTGGAAGTGAGCTTGAGACAAATCAGCTATCGCATGGATCCAATGTTAATTTTTCCCAAAAATCAAACAAACAAAAACGAAGCACATAAATAGTGATCACATTTGTATGAAACCATCACAACCCATTTCACTTTTCCCCCCACTGAGCATTAAAGTCGAGCAAATCGAACGAAAAAAAAAGTCGTTAAACGAGATAGCTCTATTTGGTGTGTGTGAACAGGTAAGTGCTGGTGGAAAAATGAACTCTGGATCCATTAGATGTCCAAAGCTGTACCATTATGCCACAAACCTCCTTCCCCTCCCTCTAATATGAAAAGAAATCTATCTAAAAGAATTGTAGTAGAAAAAAAACACACAGAAAAAAATAATCAAATATTCTTAGCGCATCCAAAATGAAATGAACAAAAAAAACGAACCCAACTCGGATTCAAAACCGAAGTTATATATATACCTTTTAAATCAAATGCATGTAAACTAATAAAATTAAACATTATTGTGTAAACGGCTTTGTAGCAGTAAAATCAAAACTCCCCCGTAAACAATAAGCATATGCGAGAGAACAACCACATTCAACCATGTCCAAAACTACTAACACAATCAAAATCAAAATCAAAAAAATACCATTTGTTGTCAGAACTATCGTGTGTTCCTTACACCAACCATCCAAACGAGATAACTAACTGTCCATTTTAACTCTAATTCAATACATAATATAAATGTGAATAGCGTACAACTTTTATTCAATGCCCAGCTCGTCCGTACAGCAACAAAGAAACAAATCGGTCGCGGTAAATTAGCCGAGATTCTTTTTTTCACTTCTATATCCATGACGTTCCGATTAGACGATTATAAATGTTAAAGTTTTTAACGTTACTCGTTGTAAATGGCATAAAATATGTATACATAAAAGCAGCGGCTATGAAGTCAGCAGCAACCAAAAAAAGAAGCAATAACTCGAAAAAAGGGGAAAACTTCATTTTGTTTATATTCTCGATGCGAAAAACTTTTTCGCTATCGAAAAGAGAAATTCCACACTTTTATAACAGAAAAAAAAGAAACCAACCAACCAACCAATTCCCTTCATAGAATAGTATGCTTGAGTATTCGCACCCATCACCCACGAACAAAACTTTATACTTACAGTTAAAAAAAAGACCACATACACACACAAAACCAACAAAAAATTAATGAAAATCCTCTTAAAATGCATAATTTTATCTACTGTTATGTGCACACGAACAACAACAAAAAGAATGGAATTAAATCCAAAGTTGAAAATAGAACTTAAATGCAAAGAACTACAATAATTAAGTACAAATGCAAAAGAAACACACAAAAAAAAGATTATATGTTGTTAACTGAGCTCACTGTAAAATTAATATACACTCAAAACTCAAATATCGCATCCCTTTCCCTCGATCGACCATTCTCTCTCTATCTCTCTCTCTCTTTCTCTATCTGAACAAAAGCACTAAGCATTTCGAAACGATGGCATAACCGCACTTAAAATTAAAACCAACCCCTCACCCCATTTAAAAGACAACAAAGCACGTATTTTAAACTTTTAATCCATCACGATCATCTTCCTCTGTGCATCTCTCCTTCATGAAATGCGTTAAGTCAATTGCAAACAACTCCAAACAATTATAAATAACCATCATCAAATCGAAAAATACCATCAAAATTGGATTTTCTCGTGTCATCGTAATTCATCACCACCAACTGCATATAACATCTATGTTATAGATCTATAGATGATATATTCCAATAATTTGGTTCGTGTGTGACATGTCAAATGTCATCGCCTCAGTAAAATGACAAGAGACGAAGAGAAAGCTGATTATGTAAATTCAGTGTTGAACCAAAGCAAAAATCATAAATATGTTTTCCACGAATCTTCATCTTCCGTACGCTCAAGACGTCGACAAATAAACACCTGACGGGCGGTGCTATCATCTTTCATTAGAAATAAACCAATCGACATATTTTATATAAATAAAAATAGAATGAAGAGAGCAAATGACATGTGTTAAAAATATCGTGCACACGTTTATACCTTCCATCACTTCCCCCAAGACAAAGAAAACACAAACGACGAGCATGTTTACCGATACAAACAACACGCTACGTAGAACATAAATGAAACCTCATACATCTGAAGAAAATAAAACGGAAAAGATCAAAATAATCAGCAATCAAAATATATACATATATATATATATATAGTGTCTAGTTTTATACGTGTCCGATGCTTTCACACCCGCTTCCCACAGATAATCTAAACACATCCTGACACCTAGCTACAGTACATACATATATAAATATATATATATTCAAGTAATGCCTTTTGTTTGCCTACAGTCTTTTGATTTGATCTCATTTCTATTATCGTCTCTCTTGTACAGAGATTTAAACAAAAAATAAAATCTATTACATAGAATGAACAGAGAAATGAAGAAAAAAACAGCAGCAGCAGCAGCAACAAACAATTTTAGTCGTTTAGTATGTTTCATAATTTCGTGATTTTCTAAATTTGTGCATATTTTTTCACGTTCACACATACACACAAAGTATAAATTCCAACAGTGCCAGCAATAAAATAGAAAATTGCATCGATGACATAAAAACAAAACAAAAAACAACAACAACAACAACAACAGCGACAGCAGCAACAAAAGAACAAATGATCAACTCTGGTTTTGATATGAAAATTTAAAAAGCCTTTTATTAAAATTATAAGGAAAAAAACTATTGCGTTTATTTCGTTTTAACTACACTAATTATAAGCGCATCCAATGAAAACTGGTGTTCAGCGTTCGTGTCGATTCAATGGCTCGTATGCAATAAATTTGAAAACATAGCGTTTTTTTCTTATTTGGTACGAGAGAGAGAGAGAGAGAGAGAGAGAACAGTAACCGCGCCGGAAAATGGACAAGTCAACGCCTACCACCACCGTCACCAAAATCAAATACAAGTGCATAGATTTATGATTCTCTTACTTTCTTTGGGTTGTGTTTCATTTATCTCTCTAATGAATTCATTTTTCCAAATTGTTCATTTTTACATTAGTCCCTTTTTGTGCTAAATTTTAAGTCGAACACCGTTACCATAGCGGCGAATTGATGAACAAAAAAAATCCTTCATCAATTCGATCCAAATAGAGAAAAAAAAAGTGTTTTTTTTTCTTCTCGTGAATGAAAGTTGCTATTCAGCCAACGCAAGGTTGTTGCACATTTGGGTCGACCATACATCAAATCGTTTGGTTGGGTTTACTGCACAAAACAATCATATTCATTGGAAGTATCCAGCAATACGGCAAGAAATAGAGAATAAAAATTTTGGCCATTTTATTCATCAATGGAAATAAATGTCGACATCACATTTTTTTCTCGTCTCATTTCTTAGCCATAATTTGCTGGGTTCTCATTCAAAATGAATGAGGTAATCATGGCCGTATGCAAAGCCTGAAATATGATTGACTCGTGCGAGATAAAAAAAGAAGTAAACGGAAGAAACAAAACAAACCACCAACATTTTGACCAACAAACGACAACCAATTGCAAAAAATGAAAGCGGTTTGGCTTTTATTCTGCGTTCATTTTTTCTTCCGATGACACACACATTGTTTTCCCATTTACGTTGTTGACCACAGTTCGGAAACACACTACACACACACACACATGCACAGAACTTTTCTCTATCATTTTTTGCCTACTTTTACGTGTGCGTGTGTGGAGTAGAGTGTGTGTGCAAGGCTTTTTTGGAATGGCAACTTCAATTCGATATTTTTCCGTGTCTATTCTTGGTTTTAAGATAAACAAACACACATACACAATAATTTGGCCAATTTTATTCATTTGTTTCTTTTCTTTCTTACTTTCTTTTCTTTCGAATTTCGCCCCTACTCCACTGAATTTTTTTATGAGCAGGCAGTCCCATATGGAAAATGCGGGGTGATATTGGAGATGCGGCACGAAAAGACGAATCAAAGTAAATGAAGAGAACGAAGAGAGAGGATGAAGGGGAATAAAACTGAACAGAAAAAAAGAGAGAGAATTTTCTTTCGAACGAAAAAATTAAATTGAATAAAGAGGCGGAGAGGCTCGAAAATGTTTTTTTTTCATTCACCGATTTAATGAAAATTCTTTCCTAACTTGAACTCAAAAATAAAAACACATACACACACAAAACGATGAAACGATTTAAAGGTTGAAATTCGTATTTCGCAAGCCGTGAATTATGTTACGAGTAAAAATAAACATTTAAACAACAACCACAAGAAGAAGAGAAGGAGGAAGATGATAGAAGAGCATCAAATACAGACACAAAAGTAAAACAAATGATTAATGGAAATAGAGTCAGGCGATGGTAATCAAAAGAAGCACAAAAGAGGAAAATAGCTATGGAAAAGAAGGAAAATAAGAAATACAAACAGAAAAACAAACACAAACTACTCGTTAAAATTTAGTATTTAATAGATTTTTAAATGGGGATGGATAAATAAGAGAAGAAGAAAATGAAATATCGATTTAAATATTAAAATTTACCTAGTTATAAATAGTAAGAAAGGATAAAAAGAAAAGTGGAAATTTTCAAAATGAAATAAAATGGTATTCATAACTCGTATCGTATATGCAGTGATCCAACGACGAGAAAACCACCGCTAGAAACGAGATGATGAAAAGTTGCAGTGTTGTTCACATTAGGTTGTGGATATACGCTGCACTATGTGAATATTATCATCGTTCGGTGATGCGTTTCGGCGGTTTTTCGTTTTGGCAAACATATATGCGCACACTGTGGTTTCCTCATTGATGGATCCCATGTATCATGAACGGAATTTCAATGCATTTAGCTAAAATGAAAACGGATTAAGTGGAGTTAGAAAAAAAAACAAATACATACACACAAAAAAAAACGCTCACATTCAGTGACAAACACGATTTAAAAACAGAACAAAAAAATGAAGAAGAAAAAACCAACAACTAAATATATGTATAACAAATTAGCGAATACACACACCCATTACACACGAAGAGAGGCACACTCGATGTTTAATTAAAATTGATTTAAAAAAAAGAAATGGATGCATTACACACACACTCTCTTCGTTTGAAAAATGAACAGAGGAAAAAAAAGTCAAATAAAAAAAATGAATAAAATAAAGGAAAACAATTTACCGATCACAAAAAAATGTTAAATTTTTACCCCTTGGGAGAGTGTTAATCGATTTATTGTTGATAAATATTAATAATTATATCTGATTGAATTCACAATTTTTTTTTTGTTTTTTCACTTTTCGTCGAATCAAATGATGAACGATCGAAGATTGTATTTTAAATAAAAAGAAAAAAAAACAAACAAATATATATGAAGATATTGAATTAATTTTATAAAAATAGATCTTCCAAAGCTAGTAATTAAAATTGGAGAAGAAACACACAGACAACCACAACAACAGAATGAGAAAAGAAAATGTAGCAGTAACTACACTTGAAATCGTTTCTTATTTTTTGTTCGAATTAGTTTGCGTTTGGGTTTCCTTTGGCGGCCACACGCGTCTAATACAACACACATTCACACGCGCACGTTGGGCATATTTAGCAAGATAAAAGAAAAAATCTTTTAATTCTATTTACAATTCATATTCACACACCAACACAAAGCATACGAACTACGTATTTAAAAAAAAACAACAACAACAACAAAAACAAATGTAAAACTTTTATATTTTGCTCACTTTTTTTATCAAATAAATGAAGAAAACAAAATAATAATTAATAAAAAAAAAATGATACCAAATAAAAATAAAACTATAAAACTGGTAAATCAAAATGAATTAATATAATTGTACACTGGCATCTGGCGATTGATACGTCGGCATTGGCACATTCAACCGTTGCTAAGAATGCGAAACGATTCGAGGCGCTAATTGAATAATTTCGAAATATCATCGATATTTGCATAAAATGCAGGACAAAACCGTAAATAATAAATTCGAATAGTTAATGATTTTAGTCAGCATATCGAAATCAATTGCCATTGAAATGCCAATGCCGGCGTGGATCGTCGATATTTACGCAAATAATAGAATAATTTAAATAACAATGAGACAACAACAATGATGATGATGAAAAAAAAAAGATGCAAAGAGAAAGATTATCCATTAATTATTCAATAATTATTTATTGTAGTAAACATACGACGAGTCTCATAAACAAGCAAAATAAAAAACCTACTAGAAATATGAAGCGAAAATGCATTAAAAAATCATGATAGATATTCTTTTCACATTCATTCACACAAGTTCACACAAACACGTTAAATTAATTGTTAAAGGATCTAGTTAAACGAAAGAAGAACAAAGAACAGAAGAGAAAGAAAGAGAGCAATAAATGGAATATGAAGAAATGCCCACAATCATTCATTGACCAAAAAGAATGGATCGATTGTGAGCCAATTAGCGTGCGCATGGATCGATAAAAAGAGAACGAAAAAATATATTTCAAGGATCATAATTTAGTTGACAGTATATATTTATATCACATTGTGCACTCACTCACTCAGCAAAACGCAACGACCGTTGAAGATTTAAAAACAAAAACTGGCAAATAAATTAAGTGAACAATTATTTTCTCTATCCGCACAATTAGCAAATCGATTTCGTGTTCTGTCATTCTCATTAATTTGATTTTTTGGGAAATTATTGAAAACAATACACACACACAGAGAGAGAGATCATTAAATCAATGAGAATGGTATTGAAAATGGCCGAACAGAAACCGAAGCAGTTTTAAATGTAGTTATGGTTTTGATGTCTTTTTTTTTCTTTTCTCGTGAAAATGGAGTTGACGCATACAACATTCTTTAATTCGATTATTTTTTCCATTCAAAATGCATATTGGATTTGTTATTTTTTCATTCGTTCGCGCCGATTATTTTTCGTTTAGTACACAAAAATATTTCAAAGCGGCAATTTCGAACCAGAATCAGTTTCTGGTTATACAAATGACCATCACTTCAAGTGATTCACTTGGCGCACATAGACTTATCGGTGCCAAAAGAATTAAATATCTTTAAATTGCCTGTACAATGTACATCAATCAATCAATCAATTCCATTTTCTTCGACGACAACAACAACAAAACACTACATTTAATTTAAACGAACCATTTTAATTACTAAACTAGCAAGGGAAAAAAACTAACTAAATAAATGCAAAGTACCAGTTTTTATCTTAACACAAACCAAAAAAAAATTGTACACTGCACACGTTCTTCCTAATTTTTCCATGCAAGTGGAAAATACAGAGTTAATCGTTTCGTTTGCGAATAGTAAAACAAATGGAAAACAAATGGACGAACCCAAAAAAAAACTATGAAGAAAATTAAAGTGAGAAAAAAAAATGTTTCCGAATGTGAGTGCGCGTGACGAAAATGATTCGAATGATATAAAAAAAAAATGTGAGACACAGACCGGTAGCAATACCAATATTACATTTATAAATGTTGTATTTTAGTCATTTGTTTTAATTTTTCCTCGTGTGTATTTCAAATTAAACAGACAAAACCAAATAAATAAGAAAAAAAAACATACAAACAAATCGATCGTATGAATGAATGAAAAAAAAACCAAAGAAAATTTCATTTAATTCAAGAACAAAGAAGTAAATAATAAATGATAATAAATATATTCGAGTGCTAGACTTATTGCAATTCACATATGAACTTGATAATAAAAATGAATGTGAATGATGCGTACGATTTCCTTAAGTGATTTACACACACAAACAAACACACGCAATCTCCGGAGTCCGAGAGGCAAGTGAAAATGTCGGAAATTTGGTTTGATGATTTGCTCGATAGGAAGTTTCTATTAGAAACAAAGAAGATGATGATGATGATGAAGAAGAATAAAATGAAATGGATGGAAACAAAAGTCATTCGTGAGACTTTCGTTTTTCTCTCCCCCATGCAGGCATTTTAATATATCGTAACACGTATTCGTAAATCTCAACTGAAAGAGCAATCGAATTTAAGGTCCACAACAGCAACCCCAAAACAAAAACATCGTATATTCTCTGGACCGATGCATAATCGAATTCATTCTTCATTTTCCGTTCGAATAGAAAAGGATCATTTCGTTGTTTGCTATACATTCCTAATTGACACCATTTAATATTGTCGACCATTCACATTTGTTTTGAGTTACATTTGCGTCGGTTTCACGCAAAAATACCTCGCTCCGATCGACAGCGAGACAGTTTCAATTCAGGATCCACACCCAAAAGTCGGTCCCGAAATGTTTAGACGATACAGAAAAAATAGTGGAAATTCAACCATTTCAATGCACTACAACAAAACCTTCACAGCAATTACAGAGATTTATCAAAAAATTCTGAAACAAACAACTGGTACGGCCAACTCAGTATACAACAACCGCCGTGACATTTATATACACATAAAAATATTCATGTTTGCACCATCACGATGGATAGAGAATCAAAATAGCCATTCCTATTGCTACTACACAGAACACAAGAAATTATGACATCCACATAAAAATGTCTAGTTAAAAACTGAATGGATGACATTCCATTTTTTGAGCTCAAAAAATACACATCCAGTTTCTTTTTTTGCGTGTAGTACAAGCGTTTAGCAAGAGATATGCTTGCAATTATGACGGAATTAATCTATTGCAGTGGAACGAAACATGTCATTTTCATATGACAAACTTTCACTGACCTAATGCTACTGTAGCTGCTATTGCTGGCCAAAGATATACACTCGATAAAACAAACGAAACCAAAAGGATTATGAGATGAATCAAGCGAACATGAAAATTGGCCACAGCATATTCATAATGATTTATTTACAAACAGATGAACACATTAATTTCATGTGTAGATTTTTTCACAGGGAAAATAAACCGAAAAAACCCTTTTCTACACTTAAACCTTTAGAGCATCGAACTGATCATTTTTTAAAAAAATAAAACACATCCGAGGTTACCAAATCAAACAAAGCAAAGCAAACAGATATTATATGAATTTTGAATCGGTGCACCGTGAATGCGTTGCCAAAATATGCCGACTCAACCGTATTTGACTTCAAGTGCCAAACTAAACGATAAAAACAACAACACAAATAAAATATTTTCAATCTTAGCACAATCTTTCAGTGGGTGTGTTTTTAAAAAATGGATTATGAATTTTATGCGGGGAAAAATCGAAGCAAAACAAAAAATGATGGGAATGAATTGAGTAATCAAACTTTTGTTTGGTATGTTGACGGCTACGAAGACGACAATGACCACAATGAATTGCGTCACATTTTTATTGTATGGAAGTGAAACATAAAACGTAAACATAAATAATCAGTGGCTACGTGAAACCACAAGAAAAGGTACAGGATACACAGTCATTGCAAACTGCAATGAATCTCTTCATTTATTCCAATTCAAATGCGGATTCGAGTAATGCGTACGAACAAAAGAGAGACGTTTTTGACATTTAAGTAGTTTTTCATCTCAGCTGTCATCCATACAAATGGTTTCTGCAACTATCGTTACATCACATTTACTCTTTTTTTTCCATCAATTTTCAACACCACTTACTAGAGAAAACCAACAACAAAAATGCACTAGCTCAAAAACAATATAGATTTTATATTTATTACCAAAAAAGACAAGAACAACAGACAAAAATATTAACCGCAACATGAATGTAGGCAAATGGCAGTCACCGCAGAACTAGACGAAGCAAAACATAGGATTCCATTACATGAATTAATGCTAGTAATATTCAATCGAATGTTCTACTTTTCTTTCGAATGATTGTGAGCAAAGGATTCGATTTTTAATTTTAATAGATTCACAGTGTGAAAACAAGAGAGGTAAAGAAAAATCAGCGATGCGACAAGGAGATATTCATTGACAATATACTTTTTAAATTGATGCTGTTGCGAAGAGCAAAGAAACAGAAAAAATGTGCGAGCATTTTTTTTCTCCAGTTTTCAATCACTTCATGTACGCTACAGATCCTAGCCTAGTGACTAGGAGATGTACATCACAATCTGCTCACACACTTTTCATTTTGCCTTAGTGTTTTTGAGCGCGCAGCAAAACAATCGAAAAACTTCTTCACACACACACACACACTTTCATCACTTTTGCTATTTCTGTTCAACACACATCACCATTTAGCGAACTTAGCAAAACAAAAAACAAATGAAGAGAAATTCCTTATAGGCACACATTCATTTTCACATCATTTTCATTTGGTTTGCAATAAATAAAATAAAAACAAATTAGACGAAATAAATTATTGCATTTCCTTAACGCATACACATGAGAACGAATAAATGCATTTGACGTATGGAAAGTTTAAGAGAAATAAAAAAAATGAAAAAAAAAATAAATCGAGAAATAGACAATTTTTTTGAGCGTAAAATGAGAAACAAGCGAAGATTTAAAAAAAAAAACTATATAATAATATAAAATATTGGACCGTAATAACCGATAACGTATTAATTATTAAAATGAATATTATATATAAACAAACAACAAGAACAACAACAACAACAAAAGACAGACGCTCACATATGCGCGCAGAGACAGAAAGATGATAGAGTATATAACGATAATTATTATTAAATGAAAAACCAAATATTATGAGTTTTTGAATGTATTGCACGAAATTGTTGTATGTACTCTTATTGAGCTTTCATTAAACAGAACCTAAACTACATCAATTACAAATTTAAAACGTGACTTTTATTCGCTTATTTTCAATTCTATGCGCACAGAATGCGTTGTGCATTGACGCATTGTACTCAAGTGAGATCGACTCAATCTGATTGAGGTAAGTATCTTGGAATTTTGAAAAATATTGAAAAAAAAAAACATTGGAGCATCTAGTTCAGGTAAAGAATAGTATCACTGTCCTAGGAAAAAAGGCATGCAAAATCGACTATCCATTTTTTTCTCTCTTCCAAACCAAAATATCATAATCATTTAAATAAAAGTCAACTGCTTTTATGAGGATCACATCTTTATTTTTATTCCAGTTTTTTTAACTACTTATGCAATAACGAGAAAAATATATGGTGTTTATAAACATGACTTCCATGAAATTCCAGCAATATCATCAAAACCATTTTCAAACGATGATATTGATACCTACAGTTTTTTACAATATCAAATTATACATATTTTGTGTATCAAACATTGTGTCATTGGCTGCCAATTTTTTTATAAGGGTTGTGAAAAAATGTTTCTTTATACACCTTGAATTGCAATGGTTATGTTTCTTTCAAATCATTCTGTATGGTTTCTTCATTCTTTTCGATGTTTCTATGTTCATACTGTTTCTTATCCATTCATTTCATAATTTATCTTTGAAAAAATTGTACATGCTTTAGTTTTTCCTTACAATAGAACATTCTAAATGCATTTTATATGAAATTCTATTTCATAATTCATTTTTTTACTTTTTAATACATTTTTCTTTTTACTCAATCAAATTTTGTTATCGAATGTTAAAAAAAAATTCTTTGAATAAAATTAAATGTAAGTTTTTTGTAATCAATATAATGTTTGTAACATGACGTTATTGAAACGTCTAACTCCATCTACGCATTTTTACAGCAGTTGTGTTCTATTGAGTTGCGGTTTCAACTATTTTTGGGCGAAATTATCTCAAAAGTATGCTAAAATGAGTTATTTGTTATGCAAATGCTCAAACGACTACTGTTAATGTACGCACTGATTCAGTAATCCATAGACATGCAATGGCTACTAGATGACAAATTTACAATACACTCGAGTGCGTGTATTTACGCGTACATTTCCGGTAACCGTTTGAGCGTTCGCATAATAAATAACTCATTTTAGTATACTTTTGAGTTAATTTCGCCCAAAAATAGTTGAAATCGTTATATGCAGTCCACTCGATTCTACTCAATAGAACACAACTACTGGAAAAATCCGTAGATGGAGTTAGACGCCCGTACCAAATGTAATGTATTGAAATTCCATATACATGCTCGGAGTATGGTACTAATGCAAAAATGGTCGAGTGTTAGTTGGATATTCAATGTTCATGGTTTTACATCGAGCAATTGAAGTTCAGCGTGAGGCTCGATTTCTTCCGATTTTGGGTGTTTCTCGTTGTTGTACATTATCATCAACGTTTGGATAGATTTGCGAATTCCTTACTTGCAGTAAAGATTGGTTTCATCAGAATGTCGTTCATGTGCCAGTACAGCTTCATCAGCAGTATACCGTTCAACGCCGCTCAGTTCAAAGTTCTTTGGAAGTGGACGAACCGAGTAATCGAACTATTTGGAAATGAATGAAAAATTGGAAATTGAAATTTGAATTCTTTTTTTTTCTTCATTACAACGAAGATTGAACAACAGGCTCAATTGACGATCATCGGAACTGAAAATACAAAAATTGTACTTACGGTTTGCAGCACGAAATCATCGGGTAGCTTAAAATACTTCATGTAGCATTCTTACAGGATGATGTAATCTCGTGACTACTTCAAGTTGATGTCCACCAGCTATGAAAAATATTGATAAAATTTTCTTGAAAAATTCATCATAAACAAATAACTATTTACTATTTGTAGAATTCGATATCAAAGAGGCAATGTTTTAATGCAATTCAACTTTATCTTTCAGATTTTTACCAATGTGTCAAATGTATTGTTCAACGCACAGTTTTCCTTGTTTTTAAACTAGTCCGTGAGTCCAAAAGAGCCGTGTACCACCTTCCTCGGCAAATCCGATGACATCACTTCATTTCTTTCTTCATAGCACTGAGACGCAGCATGTCAAAAATGTACACGTTAGTTGACGTCGCTATAGTTAGTAGTGGTAGTTGCATGTCGAACCGGCCGAACCTGCTTCCTGCAAAAAACAGCGATGATTTCTTGTTGTTTCGAATCTTTGGTTACATTGTGGTATTTGTTGTCGTGCTGCGCAATTTGAACGATGTTTCATATGCGCTTTTGTATTTCTTGAATGTCATGTCCGTTGAACACTTTTTTCGTGACTCTACTATTGACAACGGTTTTTGTTTGAGTGATGCTGCTTCAGCCGTGTTTTTGTTGTTTGACACGTGCTGTTGACTCGCGTTTTGCATTGCATTTGCATTGTCTGTTGACTTTGCTGTTTCTAACCACGATTCCAACTTCACATTCTCAAATTAAGCCGCACGTTACGATTCAGTCATCGTTCTATTCGATAAAAGAAAATTAATCGACTTCTTCGCCATTTTGAATTTTTCTCGCCTTCTTTTTTGTTTTTCTTAAAAAAATTTCACTTTTGGTTTGCATCTCGCTTTAATTTTCGAATGAAACTACGATTAAATTTTACTGGTTTTTACGATTCTGGGTTTGTTCGATTTATTATTTGCATTCACTGTTTATTTATTTGTTCAATTTCACTCATTATATATCTTACTCTATATTTTCTGCTCAAATTTCCTATGATATATATTACAAATACCGTCAGTCTAATGGAACTTTTGGTTTTTATATTCTTTATCCTTGCTTTTGAACATTCTTCACTGAAATGCTATAAGATTAATCCAAGTGTTACGTGCAATGAAACTACTGCTGGGATAACCGCCCCAATTTTGCTTTGTATGGGATCTAATAGTGAATTTAAAATAAAATGCTTCGATGCGAAAAATATAGCGATCGCTGAGATGACAAAAATATGTATATGTCAAAATCAAAATGATGATGTATTAATAAATACATGGTTCAAATTGTCAATTATTCTGTCGTTCAATTCTATGACTATTCAATGATTGTGAAGAAATGTTTCTTATTTATGCAACTTGAATTGCCATTGTTGTGTTTCTTTCAAACTATTCTGTATGGTTTATTTCGATTTTTCAATGTTCATACTGTTTAATATTTATTCATTTTATGATTTAAATTTGTAAAAAAATGTACATGCTATTCGAATGGAACATTCTAATTGCATTTTATATGAAATTCTATTTCATAATTCATTTTTTTCTTTTCAATATATTTTTCTTCTTACTTTCTTTATTCGGTGTTGATAAATTCATTTTTATTACTTCATTCAAATTTTGTTATCGAATATTTAAAAACAAAAAAAAAATTCTTTATATTTACGTGAAAAACATTAAACGTTAGTTATTTTGTAATCAATGGTGATGTTCATGTACTAATGCAAAAATGGTCGAGTGTTAGTTGGGTATTCAATGCTCATTGTTTTACATCGAGCAATTGAAGTTCTGTATTTAGATGTTCCATTGCGTTCAGCTCGATTTCTTCCGATCCTGGGTGTTCTTTGTTGTTGTACATCATCATCAAGTCGACTTGGTGTTCAACATTTGGATAGATTTTCGCGAATTCCTTGCTTGCAGTAAAGATAGGCTTCAACAGAATGTCGTTCATGTGCCAGTACAGCTTCATAAGCAGTATACTATTCAACGCTGCTCGGATTAAAGCGTTCTTTGGGAGTGGACGAACGGAGTAATCAAACTGTTTGAAATTGGAAAATAAATTTTGTTTAGTCTACATCCGTACAAAATCTTAAAATGAATTCACATTTCCTTCTTCTCTTAATTACAATCATAACATGGTTTGAGCAAAAGGCTCAACTAACGATGCAATCAATGGAGCGATAAAATAAAATGCTTTGCTTGCAAAAATTTGGCCTACACTTTGCAGCACGAAATCATCAGGTAGCTCAAAATACTTCATGTAGCATTCTGGTAGAGTGATATATTCATGCGACTTTTTGAGGTTGAAATCCACTAGCTGTGAAAGATACAGACAAATTTTTGTTAAAATTTTCATCACAATGAAATAAATCAGTTTTTTGTTTTCGTAATCACAGAACAGATGCAAATTTTTTGATTGAATTCAATTTTATTTTTGAAATGTTACTTACCAACGTGTCAAATACATTGTTCAACGCGCAGTTTTCCTTGTGTTGTAAGTAGTCGGCCAGTCCAGAAGAGCCGTGTACCACCTTCCGCGGTAAATCCGATGACATCACTTCTTTCATTTCCTTTTTCATCGCACCGAGACGCAGCATATCGAAAATGTACACGTTTGCTGTTGTCGAGATACTTAGAACTGGTCGCTTCATATCGAGACGGCCGAACTTGCTTTCCGAATGAACGGCGATGATTTCTTGTTGTTTCAAATCTTTGATTGCATTGTGGTATTTATCATCGTGCTGCGCAATGTGAACGGTGTTCCGTGTACGATGTTGGATTTCTTCGATGCCACGTTCATTGAACTCCTTTTTGACGACTGTACCATTTACAACGGTTTCGACATGAGGTGATTTTGGTATTGCTCCGGTTGCGTTGTTGTTGGCGCTCAATACATTCTGCTGTTGCTGACTTGTGCTCGGAATCGCATTGTCCTGTGTTGCTGGTGGTGTGGCTTTTTGGATAAGGCGTACTCTTTTTACTTCGGTTTTGTAGAACGTTTGGTTGTATGGCGCGATTTTTTCCGATCCGGCTTCTTTGCTATTTCTAACGACAATTCCATCTTTGCTTTCCCGAATGTAGTCGCACGTAACACATCGGCCACCGTTCAATTCGATTAGGATTTTGTCGTCGAGTTCCAACGGTTTCTTCGCCATGCTGATTATTTCTTTCACTTTTTCTTGATTCCTTTACAATTTCTCGCGTTTCCAAGTGAAACCACAATAAAAAAAAATGCCGTTTTTTTCGATTCTGGTTTTTGTTGGATTGGTTATTCACTGTTTTTTTTTCTGTTTCAATTCCACTAACTAACCTTATCTTATTACTCTATATATTTCGAATTTGCTATTGATTGATGTATTTTACAGAAGAAAAAAAATTAATCTTGTTTCCGAACGGGTTTGTCCTCTTCGCTAAAGTAGGCGCGGTAAAGAAATAATCCAAGTGCTACGTGCAATGTAACTACTGCTGAAACAGCCGCCCAAATATTACTTGGTACCGGTTCAAAGATTGAATCGAAAATGAAATGCTTCGATGCGAAAAACGTAACGATCGGTGAGATGATGATGAGCAAACAGTAGAATAGAATGGAGAAGAATATATCACGCTGCTTGTCGGCTGCACTCGGTGTGCTGTTTTGCGATTCGAGGCTGGTTTTATTACGCTACGGGTTGAAATGAAACAAAAAACACCATTAGTCATATGCATATGCTTGGAGATTTATGCTGAATGTGCAAAAGATTGTAAATAACTGTACCTTTCCCATAATGAAATCTGTTGTTGAAACTCAAAAAAAAAAACTCTTTTCTCTCTTCGGTCTTTCGGTGCTGGGCTGTGTGTCAGTTTGCCTGTTGACGATATACACCAAATCACATGAATAAACAATCACATGAGAAGACATACTTAAGCCCCGTTCACACAATCGATGGCCACTACTAAGTTGTCATCCGAAGCGGTTGACAGTGGCAATAACAAAAGAAGAATAAATTTTAAAACTGAAACATTTTCATTTTTTCTCTTTAAAACATTTAAAACAATTGTTCATTCTTTTTATTTTGCGTTTTGTTTTTTTTTAATAACAAATTCACATACAAATAACATAATCGAGTTTCAAGTGAATGTGTTATTGTGAATCGTTTGGGCTGCGTTCAGCGTTGACATTTCACGTCACTCATACATGAGCAGAATTCGCACACAGACTATGCACATCGAATGGAGCGGAGAGAAAGAGAGACTTGCTCACTGCATGAAACGTGCCGGCATTTGACATATTGACAAATCCAATGCGTTTTGAGTTGAATTTATTGAGAGGAAAAAAATGGCAGACACAGAGGTTCGTCAATTCAATTTTATTTTTCTGCTTTTTATCGGCAATATTTCCACTTCCATTGAATTGTAAATGATTTTGATGGGTGAATATAATCTTAAATTTCAGTTGGCGAAGGCGTTGCGAGATCTTCCGAATCGTATACTAAATGTGAATGTTGATGAACGTCCCGAGCTATTTCAAAATATAACCAATGTGTTAACGAATCCAGGTTAGTTCTATTGATTTTCTGCGCTCAATTTCAGATTTTTGCCCACATATTTGGGACGTAGTGCATTGAAAACATTTTACTAAATGAATTTCATGTTAAAAATTGTGTGATTAATTTGCAGGAATCAATGCAACGATTATACGTGGCATTTGTAAAGTGATTGGTACGACGTTAACCAAATACAAGGATCCAAAATCGCAGGCATTAGTGAAGGATTTGATAGCTGCATTGTCGACGCATCATTCGGATTTAACATTTGAACACTTCAACAATGTATTAAAAACGATTGTGTCCAAAGATTTGGCGAGCTTATCGGCATTGAAGAGTTCACAAGGTGCTGTTATCGCATTGGGATGGTCAATTACGCTTGGATCAAGTGTCGACCGTAGCACAGATGTTGGCAAATCCGAATTTAAGAAATTAATCGAACATCAAGCCGCTCTCTACCAACTTGGCATTTCCGGTGGCAATGAACGTGTGTCAGACCGTGCCAATCAATTGATCACGGCATTTTGGACGCAACACAATGACATTGAATTGGAGTATTTCAACCGATTAATATCACTTGAGCCGGCCAGCAGTGTGATTGTACTTTTAGCAGCCATCATTCGATATCGATTGTACAAAAATGCATCGGATGACCTACTGCAGCAAAACAAAGACAAATTACTGGAACATTTCATTAAAGGTAAGATTGAATTGAGATTTGGTTTAAAATGCAAGCATAAATTTGTTTATTAATCTATCTGTGTTCACTGTGCTGTTGCCTATCTAATAAAAAACATTCTTTTTTGATTCAAGGTTTGGTCACCGTCAAAGTGAAGCCAAATGTTGCATTGTTCACATCGTGTTCGCAATTGCTGAAGGCATTGAGCGCCGATGAATTCAAGAAAACCATTCTTCCTGCACTGCAACGAGCCATGCTAAGAAGTCCAGAAGTGATTTTGCAGGGTGTCGGCGCAATTATCCATGAGATTAACATCGATTGTAGTGATTTTGCCTTTGATTTGGGCAAAACACTCATCACAAACCTTTACTCAAAGGACGATTCGGCACGCGTCGAAGCGGTGGAATCACTGAAAGAGATTGCAATCAAATGTAGCGATACAAAGGCAATTGAAGCATTGGGCAAACAAGTGTTTGCTGTATTAAATGGATGCGATGGTAAAATCACCGTCGCAGAATTCAGAATCAATATTTTGCAGGTTAGTGTATTTTTTTCGTGTTGCTCTTTTGTGTTTTTAGGCAAAATGCAGTAAAAAATATTGTTTTGCAATAACTAAATTTTGTGTTTTTTCTTTGTTCTAATTCAAGGGCGCTGGTAATTTAAGCTACAATAATATTCCAAAGGCTGAATTAACCAACGTACTTACACTCATCACCGATAACTTTATCAAAGTGTTGGAAACGGAGATTCATGAGAAAGTATTGTGTCACGCACTGGAAATGTTCAGTTTGTGGGCGGTGAATTATTCGGGTGAACTGCAGAAAAAAATCACCGACATTTTCAAGAAGGGCATCGAATTGAAGTCGGCCACACAAGCGGTGCGCGTATCATATTTGCAATGGTTGCTCGCGTGCTTAGAACAAGCAACACTTCCAGCCGGTATCAATATGTCCGATGCATTGGTCAAAACGGTGGAGAAAGCATCGCAAAATTCTTCTCAAATCCCGTTGGTATCGGAGGCACTTTGCTCTGCCTGCATCGTTCTCAAGACTGACGACGACCAATCGAGCAAACTGACCAACTTCTGGAACATCGTGTTGGATATGTCGAAGCAGTTGTTCGTTTCAGAAAAGTTCATAACATCAGCACCAGCCGATACACTGTGCTTTGTCGCGTTAATGAGTAAGATTCTTCTGTCGCAGCATTTGAATAAATTGCGTGGATCACCCGATCCATTGTACAAAACCCTTGTGTATGCAATCACCTCGTCATCGAAAAAGGTGCGCGAATATTCGAATAAATTGGTGAAAAATTTGATCGCAAGCAGTAAGAATCACATCGACATCATTCGAAATTTGCTGCAACATTTCACACAAATCGCACAAGTATCCAGAGTGGCCGGCGAATCGGAAACAATCGAAGAAGGAGTGATACCGGTGCAGGGTTACATCGATGCCATTTGGTTGCTATGCTGTTCAAAAGAAGTCGATGTAGCCGATGGTCAATCGATTGCATTGAGCAGTTTGATTTGCTCTCATCAAGCAGCCGCATACAGCGCGCAACCAGATTTATGGGAGAATATTGTCACAAAATTGGGACTTGAGCCAAAATCTTTGATTGCAATCAACGTTAATCGAATCAGATCGCTGGTCATCGAAACGTACAAGGCAACACCAATCTTTGAAAATACTGTTGCAATGCTAACAAAACTGTGCCCGCAAGTCCTGTTGCCACTGATCATTTCGCAAGTGTCCGAACAATTGAGTAATCCAGAAATGATTAGCGTAACTGATACCGAGTATTTTACCTATTTGACACCCGACGGTGAACTGTACGATAAAAGTGTCATTCCAAACAGTGACGACATTTATCAGGATTTAATAAGAAAGCGCGAGAACAAGGTGTACTCGTACAAAGAGCAACTCGAAGAGATTCAATTGCGCCGTGAACTGGAAGAGAAGAAGCGTAAGGAGGGCACATGGAAACCACCGCAATTGACACCAAAACAAAAGGAGGCCATCAAAAATCAAACGGACAAGGAAAAGGCCATCAAACAACGTTTGCAAGCACTGAGTGAAACACTCACATCGCTCGTTTCGCTTATCAAAGGTGCGCTTGCTGGCAATGGCCAAAATCTGCGATTGCATTATGCCGAGCTGCTTCCAAAAGTTCTACAAGTGCTGAAATCACCACTGGCCGCCGAATCACTCACAAAACTGTACTACGAGCTTCGAACACCATGCATAACAAATGATAATTTAGCTGAGCTTATGAATAAAATCGCAATCACAACGCTTCGTTTGCATGAGCCACACTGTGATTTGACGGAAGAATGGACGTCGAAAAATTTGGACGCAGAAATTGTCGCAACACTCCAATTATTTGCCGAGAAAACGGTCAACACCGAAGACGACAAAGATTTACTGTTGGCACCCGTGTTTTGTTATGCATTTGAGTTTTTGAAAAAAACCTTGTTCCACAAGGCAATCTCCAAAAATGATGAACACCTTCTAATGGCCATTCAAATTATTGCAAAACATGTACGAGTTCCCGGCGACACAACCGATGGTGATATCACCGATTATCGTCATCCAAAATACTTGCCACGTTACGAGCTATTGAAAGTGCTGTTGGACATTGTGAGCATTCATCGTGGTCGTGTACAAAGCCAAGCGGCCGGCGCTATTCTTGATGTGGCAAAAAGTAGCTCCGCAGAGAAATTCTATGCAAAAGGTGAACGTCGTGATGTTGAATGCCTGTTGAATGCACTGCAAAGTAATTTGGATGTGGTACGTGACGTTGCATTGCGTTCGGTAACCACAATGGTGAACATTCTAAGCGAGTTTGAATCCGACTATGAATTCAATTTGTATTTGATTCGTCGTTTGTGGGTCGCCAAACACGATGTATCCGAAGAAATCAAGCAGTTGGCATGCGTTCTATGGGAACAAGCCAAATTTGATGTTCCAATTGTTATGTGCGACGAACTATTAAAAGATGTCATTCATTCGGAGTTGTGCATACAAAAGGCCGCCTCAATGGCTATTGTGTCGATTTTGAAAGAGGATCCATCGCTGGTGGAAAACATTCTCGAGCAATTGTTGGAAATTTACAGTGAAAAAACGAAAATGATTCCGGCACAACTGGATCAATTTGAACGTGAAATCGTTCCGGCCATTGATCAATGGGTACCAAGACGTGGTGTTGCAATTGCCATCTGTCAAATTGCACCATTCTTTTCATTCAGTTTGGTGGATCGTGTCATTCAGTTTATGGTATCGAAAGGATTGGGCGATCGCGACGAAATCGTTCACAAGGAAATGCTTGCGGCCGCGCTCAACATTGTTGATTTGCATGGAAAAGAAAGCATTGGCAAATTGTTGCCGGTGTTTGAACATTTCTTGGATAAAGCACCCAAATCCAGCTACTATGATAATATTCGGCAAGCCGTTGTTATTTTAATGGGCTCATTGGCACGGCATTTGGAAAAAGATGACGAACGTATTCAACCAATTGTTAAACGTTTATTGGCCGCTTTATCGACACCATCGCAACAAGTGCAAGAGGCGGTTGCCAATTGTTTGCCACATTTAATGCCATCGGTTAAGGATGATGCCAACGCAATGATTAAGAAACTGTTAAATCAACTGGTTAAATCGGAAAAGTATGGAGAACGTCGTGGTGCTGCCTACGGTATTGCTGGCATTGTAAAGGGACTTGGTATTCTGTCACTGAAACAATTGGACATTATGAATAAGCTAACGCAGCACATTCAAGAAAAAAAGAACTATAAATCACGTGAAGGGGCATTGTTTGCATTTGAAATGCTGTGCACCACATTGGGACGTTTGTTTGAACCGTATATCGTACATGTTCTACCACATTTGTTGCAATGTTTCGGTGATTCGAGTCAGTATGTGCGTCAAGCAGCCGACGATACAGCCAAAGTTGTTATGGGCAAACTATCGGCACATGGTGTTAAATTAGTTTTGCCATCATTATTGAATGCACTCGATGAAGATTCATGGCGTACGAAAACCGCATCCGTTGAACTGCTCGGTGCAATGGCTTATTGTGCACCAAAGCAATTGTCATCATGTTTGCCTAGCATTGTACCGAAATTGATTGAAGTGTTGGGTGATTCACACACAAAAGTGCAAGAGGCTGGCGGCGATGCGTTGCGTGTCATCGGTTCGGTTATTAAAAATCCCGAAATTCAAGCGATTGTACCGGTTTTGTTGCGAGCACTGGAAGATCCATCGAAAAATACATCAAAATGCTTACACAGTTTGCTTGAAACGAAATTCGTTCACTTTATCGATGCACCATCGTTGGCTTTGATTATGCCAGTCGTGCAGCGAGCATTCATGGATCGATCATCAGAGACACGTAAAATGGCCGCTCAAATCATTGGAAACATGTATTCGCTCACTGATCAAAAGGACTTGACTCCATACTTGCCGAACATCATTCCTGGTCTTAAAACATCGCTATTGGATCCCGTACCCGAAGTTCGAGCTGTTTCATCCCGTGCACTTGGTGCAATGGTAAGAACACATTTTGAAGAAATTAAAATAGTTTCCGAAAAAAGGTTTTGGTTGAAAAAAATGAATTTTCTCTCATTCATTCGTTTAGGTTCGTGGAATGGGTGAATCATCATTCGAAGACTTATTGCCATGGCTAATGCAAACGCTTACATCAGAATCGAGCAGTGTGGATCGTAGTGGAGCTGCTCAAGGTCTATCTGAAGTGGTCGGTGGTTTGGGAGTGGAGAAATTGCACAAATTGATGCCCGAAATCATTGCAACCGCTGAGCGTACGGATATTGCACCACACGTCAAAGACGGTTACATTATGATGTTCATTTACATGCCGGGCGCATTCCCCAACGAATTTACCCCATACATCGGTCTCATTATCAATCCAATTTTGAAGGCACTGGCCGACGAAAATGAATATGTTCGTGATACCGCATTGAAAGCCGGTCAACGTATTGTCAATCTCTACGCCGAATCAGCCGTTACATTACTGTTACCCGAATTGGAAAAAGGTCTTTTCGACGATAACTGGCGTATTCGTTTCAGTTCGGTTCAATTATTGGGAGATTTGTTATATCGTATTTCTGGCGTGTCGGGTAAAATGACCACCGAGACAGCGAGCGAAGATGATAATTTCGGTACCGAACAATCACACTCGGCCATTATTCGCTTCCTCGGAGCTGAGCGTCGTAATCGCGTGCTGGCTGGTTTGTACATGGGCCGAAGTGATGTAGCATTGATGGTACGTCAAGCGGCGTTGCACGTATGGAAAGTGGTCGTCACCAATACACCACGAACATTGCGCGAAATTCTACCGACGCTTTTCAGTTTGTTACTCGGTTGTTTGGCCAGTACAAGCCACGATAAACGGCAAGTGGCTGGTCGCACATTGGGCGATTTGGTGCGTAAACTCGGCGAACGTGTTTTGCCTGAAATCATTCCAATTTTGGAGCGTGGTTTGAATTCCGATCAAGCCGATCAGCGTCAAGGTGTTTGCATCGGTTTGTCTGAAATCATGGAATCAACATCGAAGGAAATGGTTTTGACATTCGTTAATAGTCTGGTGCCAACCGTACGCAAAGCATTGAGCGATCCATTGCCAGAGGTAAGAAAAGCAGCCGCCAAAACGTTTGAATCGTTGCACAATACAGTTGGTTCGCGTGCATTGGACGACATTCTACCGTCAATGTTGAACGGTTTGTCCGATCCAGATCCAAAAGTGGCTGAGAATACATTGGATGGATTGCGTCAAGTGATGGCCATCAAATCAAGAGTTGTGCTACCATACTTGGTGCCACAATTGACGGCTCAACCAGTCAACACAAAGGCATTGTCTATTTTGGCTGCTGTCGCCGGAGAATCGCTTACGAAATATTTGCAAAAGATTTTACCCGCATTGTTGCAAGCACTGTCTGAGGCTCAAAATTCACCGACTGAAGCTCAAGAAACGGAATACTGTCAAGCAGTTGTTCTATCCGTTAGCGATGAAGTGGGCATTCGCACCATAATGGATATTCTGATGGAATCGACCAAATCAAGCGATACGAACACTCGTCGTTCAGCGGCTGTTTTATTGTGTGCTTTCTGTACCCATTCACCAGGCGACTACTCACAATACGTACCACAATTACTGCGAGGTTTATTGAGATTGTTGGCCGACAACGACAAAGATGTCTTGATTCGATCGTGGGAGGCATTGAGTGCAGTTATCAAAACACTCGACTCGGCTCAACAAATTGCTCACGTTTCCGATGTTCGTCAAGCCGTTCGTTATGCAGCCAGCGATTTGAAGGCTGGCGAAGAGTTGCCTGGTTTCTGTTTGCCAAAAGGTATCACACCATTGCTACCAGTGTTCCGTGAAGCAATTCTGAATGGTTTGCCGGAAGAGAAAGAAAATGCAGCCATTGGATTGGGCGAGGTAATTTCATTGACCAGTGCATCGGCTCTTCAACCATCTGTCGTTCACATTACGGGTCCATTGATTCGTATTTTGGGCGATCGTTTCAATGCAAATGTCAAAGCGGCCGTCTTGGAAACATTAGCCATCCTTTTGCATAAGGTTGGAATTTTGCTGAAACAATTTTTGCCGCAACTACAAACGACATTCTTGAAATCGTTGCATGATCAAAATCGTATTGTTCGAATCAAATCGGGCGTTGCATTGGCCGAACTAGTGAAGATTCACACCCGAGCCGATCCACTGTTCATGGAAATGCACAACGGCATCAAAGCCAATGATGATTCCGGCGAAAGAGAGACTATGCTTCAAGCATTACGAGGACTCATCACACCAGCCGGTGATAAAATGTCAGAGCCATTGAGAAAGCAAGTTTACACAACACTTACGTCAATGTTGGGCCATCCGGAAGATGTCACCCGAAGTGCGGTCGGCGGATGCTTAGGCGCACTGTGCAAGTGGTTATCAAAGGAACAATTAAACGATGCACTTACCAATTACCTTCTGAAAGACGACCCCAACGAGGACTGGACTCTGCGCCATGGCAAATCTGCTGCACTCTTTGTTGCACTGAAACAAAGCCCATCAATCGTTTACACCGCCGAATATGAAGTGAAAATCTGCAAAATTATTCCCACAAATATAACGTCCGATAAAATTCAAATTGCCAGCAATGCAATCAGAGCAACCAGTTATTTGTTTGAATACTGTTTGAACGAAGAAATGCCCATACCGCAACAAGTGCTCACACCGTTTGTACGATCGATAAACCATAGCAGCAATGAAGTGAAACAATTGCTTGTGAAATATTGTAATTACTTGGCCAGAGTTGTATCGGCGGAAAAAACGACACAAGAATTCCTGCGGCCCGTCATTCCAATGCTGGTTAACGGTACAAAAGAGAAGAATGGTTATGTAAAATCAAATTCCGAAATTGCATTGATTGCAATCTTGCGATTGCGTAGCGGTGATGATATGCATCAGAAATGTTTACAGATGTTGGATAGCGGTGCCCGTGATTCGCTAAATGAAGTGGTGTCCAAGGTATTGCGCAAAGTAGCAACCCAACCAATCGGAAAAGAAGAAGAACTGGACGATACACTTCTGTCTTGATCCTGACAATGCGCCACAAATCAACGTCAAACACATTCGAACATTGAACTCAACAACAGCAAATTGTTTCATTTTAAATCGTTAAATCTGTGGAATTGGCTGGCAGCCAGTGCAAACATTTTTATAAAACAATTTTCGCATCGAATTGCTGCATTAGTCAATAGTCCAAATAATACATTAAAAACCAGGTTTTTATTTTTATTGAATAAATGTCATTCAAACCATAAATTAAAAGTTGTTGTTGAATTTTTTTTTCTCGAAAATTTTAGGACGCAGACGGTAATATTTCATGGAAAATGGAAAATGATGGTGATTTTTTAAAATTTGTTCTATTTGTCCAACATTAATTAGGGTAATTTTTATATTAATCAAACAAAAAGTGCATGGTATCAATGCAAAACCTACTCGATCGTCCATTATCCAAGGCAAGGTAAAAGACATTTGGCTCTTGATGTAAAATAGGTGAAAAATAAAACAAATCCATTTACTTTCACAATTCAACAATTTTCAGTTTATTTTGTGTGTGTGTGTGTGTGTTTTCATTACATTTCAACTACCAAATGCATTATATTTAATATATGTTTCACAAATTGTAATCTATGCACTCTATCTGCGAAACGATGTCGAACTCTAAAAATTTATTTTTCCATTCTAAAATATTTGTTTTTATTGGAGCTAATTTTTGTTGTTGTTAATTTTAATTCTTCAGATGCTTTGTTTTTTATTTACTGGTGTATACGTATTTCTGTAATTGGTACTAATAATTTTGTTTTATTATTTTTTGTCTGAGTGTTTGATGTTTATCCTACTGCAACCACCCGACTGACAATCGATTTGGGAACAATTTGAGTAATTTTTTCTTATAGAATTTATTAGGAATTTTCATTGGAATCAACATTGGGTTTCATGTGAAAAAAATTGCATCCAAAATCTTGAAAAAAAAAATGAATTAAAATTTTTTTTTTTAATTTCTTTACAATTTTTTTCGTATTTTTCAATTTATGATTGCAAATATGGTGTCAGTAGGATAATCGGTATGAATCTGTATGGATAAAAATAACGTAGGCATATCTCTATTCCTTGTTCGTTCCTAGAACATTGCGCTAACTTACTAAAGGGTATGTACAAATTCGAATGTTAACTATTCATTTCAAATTGATGGCGATGTGGAAAAATGCAAATGTATTGCAGGTTGAGCCGATTTTTTCATATTTTTTTTTCATCAGATGCAGTTTACATAAAAACTAGCGCCTAAAAACGAGAATGTTTTGATGTTTTTTCTGTATTCAAATTGGCTCAAAAACTTTAAGTCGTTTGCTTTCCCATATTTCTGTGTCTACTAATATTGAATTTTTTTTTTTTTGCTTCATTTTTTTTCTTTGTTTTCAATGTTTTATTAGTTTTGCTAGCGATTTAACTTTACAATATAATCAATTGAAATAAAAATTGGTGGGCACAATAAAAAGCCCGTCACTATATATACGTATATTAATATATAAATAATATGAAGAAAAAAAATACCAAAATGGATCCATTTACACAAATTCACTTTCATGATAACACTACGTTTATTTCATTCATTTAATAAAATGTTTTTGTTCTTTTTGGAAGAGTTGAAACATTAATATTGAGTTTTTCCATTTAAACACAAATGATCTAGGGGCATTTCTCACGAAAAGAATGAATGAATTCTTATAAATTTTGAAAAATTCCTTCCATTTGGTCCGATTCGATCAATTTTCATCAATTCGTGTAAAAAAATGTTCATTTACACTGAACTTGTGTTCTGGAAGTGGGTTTTGGTGGATCTCAAGGATTGTCCAGAACTGCTCCCGGTTCTGGAAGTGGATCTTCAGGATGGGCCAGGGCATTGTCAAACCGGATCTGGTCCATCCTGAGGATCCACCAAAACCCACTTCCAGAATCGGGAGCAGTTCTGAACGAACCTTGAGATCCACTAAAACCCACTTCCAGAACACTTTTATTCAAGCAATATCGTCATTTCAGTACATTTTCTTACAATTTCAATAAAAAAGAAAAAATAATAGACATTTTTGCACATTTGCTCAAATTGTTTGTGTGAGAAATGCCCCTAGCAAATGATTGCCGTCAAAAAGACATAGAATTTCGTGTGAGTGTCAACAAGTTGTGAGAGTCTCAATTTCACAGCGAATGACATTTGACTTGTAATTTTAATAATAATTTTGTTATCAGATTTAACTTTGTGAGCAAATAACAGTTATTCAGTGTTCAACATAATTCTGAAAAATGTCTCTAAACTTGGCGAATGCTAATTGAAACGATAAAAAAACACAACATCATCCAATTGCAATAATTTTCAATAAGTGATTTTTTTTCTTCGTCAAACAATTTGTGTTTTCCCCACCATTGAAAACACTATATTCGTAATGTGTGTATTTGTCTCTGTTTTATTTTTTACCAATGTCATTACAATTTCCTATCAAATAAGTTTTGTTTGATTAATAAAATTAAAGGTATTATGTTTTAGTTTGTTTTGCATAGGTATTGTTGTTGTTGTTGTTGTTTTTTTACTCTCATTTAATTAATAAAATGTCATAAGTCGTTGGTTTTCCATGTTCGGTTCCGGTACGTCGCCATGCATTGAGCAATTACCACCGTTTGGGTTTGAAACACATGCCGACGCTCGCGCCCGACGATACAATGCAAAATGGATAGCGTTGTTCCCCAACCGGTGCGGTTGAAATGTACACGTTTTAATAATCGTAATATATTATTAAAGTGTTAACAAATATTTGAGCTAATTGCATTAATTTCTAGACTCTATGACACTTTCTGTTTAAACATAGTTCATAATGATCGGTAAGTGGTTTGAACCATTTTTGTTTGAATAGTTTCTAATTTTAAATGTACTTCTCTCGCCATTCTAATGTAATTGCGTTTTGATTTTTTTTTTTGTATTTCTCTCATGTTTGTTTGCTTTTGTGTGTTTGTGTTAGTTAGTTTAACCTGCATCAGACCATACAAAACATCCTTCTTAGTTTCGCATTCATAATAATGCTAAAATCGTTATCGTAAATTCAAATATATTTTTTTTAACCATTTTTTTGTTTTTTTTTTGTTTTTTCTTTGTATGTACACAAAATAATTCAGTTTTTTTTTCTTCTCTTTTATCTGCGATCAATTGGTTGTTTTTGTTTTGTTTTATTGACTAGTAAATGTTAACTCTTCATCTTAAAATATCTCTCGATATATTTAATTTGTATTTATTTATTTTTTCTGTTTCCTTTCATTATTCCTTCGCCATATTCTTCTGTTTTTGGCATCGATTTTGTTTTTTTTTGTGTGTTAGTTTTATTATTTTATTAGAAAATTCATCTATTTTCTTTGTAGCTAATTTCATTTTGGCTAATTGGTTCGACAAATCTACGGGTATGTCTTTTGAAGTTTAAGGTTCGAATTCAAAGGACCATCTATTGTTCGTATTCGCTGTTCTGCGAGATCTGATAAAAACGACTATTATTTCAAGCACATAGAAATTGGTTGAGGAACTTTAACTGGCAACTGCTTTACATACATACAATACATATACGGTATTAATATTAGAATACATATATAAAAAAGGGAGATTCTTGTTCATGGCATTGTCGTCATGGTGTGCCTTCTGTCAAATGAACTGACTCATTCAACTTTCATCCGAGCAATGAATTGCAATTGAACAATTTTATTATATATTACGTGTGTGTGCGAAGATAGATTCAGTCGACGGTCTAAATACAGTGCGTTTGATTCTATTCTATGTTAGGAATTTTTTTTTCTTTGGTTCGTTTTTTTTCTTCCTATTACTTTGGAGGTCAAAGAAGGCTCTTCGCAATCCATTGAGTGAAACAATGGCGATCAGTATCAAAAACTAAAGTGACACAAAATCAGACACACCATATTTCATGGTTGTTTTATGAACAGTTTTCATCAGATGAAAACGGAATTGTCAGAGTTAGCGAAGTCTTCTCCATACGAAATAATGAATGAAAAAAAAATCAATGAGACAAGCAGAAAAAAAAGCACAACGAAAACTTTTAGAGAAATTGAGCGCGCGTATGCAGTGTGTACAACTGTACATTATCGATGCGGAAATAGCGAATATTTCGAAATGTAACCGAATATCTTCTTGTATAAATTACCGATATTTCCGAATTGCTTGTTTGAAAACGGAACGTAAATAGAAGTAAAACTCAAACACAATGATTAATGATCGCAGTTGAAAAATGGGCAATGATATAATGTCTTGTTGTTGTTTTGTGTGTATGTGTTTGTTTGGATTTTATTTTTGGCAATGGTTCGGCTGCATAAAATTCTAGCATGAATGTCTAAGGATAAGCCGAATTAGTGAATTGGTAAATTTTTTCTTCTTTTTTTCTCTCTATTTGTTTGTCACTTCGTTTTTTTCTCTTGTCCGGGTGAATTCCGCTTAAACCCATTGAATGGATTGTGTTTAATTATGATTCGTTTTTTTCTCTCGTCTTCATCTTTTTCTTTTTTGTGGTTTGTTTTTGTGTTCTCATACGTTTCCGTGTTTAGAATAATAACGCTTGGTTTGCTAAAAGTTTGGAGTTTTAATTTACAAATTGAGATAATAATTGTGTGATGATTGGTGTGTATGCGTATTCCATTTTCACTCTCATTCTAAATGGGTTTTTTTCTTCTCTTTTTCATTCATTATTATCGATTTATGTCAACAGCGTCCAAAAAGTGTGCCTCGACTGGGCTTCTGCTCATTTAACACAGAACGCACAATGCAATTTAAGATTTCAAAGATCTATTTTTTTCTCGTCGCATTTATTTTCCGGCTAAATTTCCGTTCAATTTTTCGAAAATGCAAGTGACTTTCATGAATTTCCCGTTCAACGTAAAATTACATTCAATTCGCAATAACAAATTTCGTAGGTTTGCAATCACACATAATTTTGTTCGTTCGTTTGTTGTTGGTGCGACACCCCCAACCCGATCTATTCGTTCGCTCGATTCGGAGCGCTCTCTCGGCTTTGTCCGGGAGTACGTTGAGAAAATGATATCATCACGTTAATGTAAATGAATTCTAGTGTCCGCGGACAGTATCATGAAATCAACAGAATTAAATGGAAAGTAAGAAAGTAAGTAATATTAAAATTATGCTGTCATGATGATGTCTTCTTACACATTGATTACACAATTTAGTTTAATGTTGGGCCGTTTTTTCTCATCATTTTTCTTCTTCTTCTTTTACTTCTACTTCGTGTTTTTCACTATGCTCACGCTCTCTATCTAGCTGCTGCTGGTGCAATGGTTGCAATTTTGTGCGCGAACTTTGTTATTGCTGTGCCACCAAATGCGAATGGCATGCCAGGAAAAGAAAAATAATGGCTATAACACAGCACAGAGCAGAAGCGAAGCACACACATTTTTGCTGCATTTTTTTTGTCAACAAAGCAACTTCTTCTTCTTCTTCGTCGTCATCTATCTACGACGGCAGAGAAAAAAAATTGGTTGCAAGCAAAGGGCAATGATTCGTTTTACAATTTGTGCGAAGCGTATGCGGGATTTCTATCTCTCTCTTTCTCTTTGCCTCAATTTACAAAGCTTTAGGTGGCATCACACACAAAGCATGCTTAAAATTAATTCTCTGTGTCGTTGTCGGGGTTCCTAAATCCTCCATATAAACATCTTCCAATGAATCATCCCATTTGACATTATGGAAAATGACGCACATGACCCAATTCTGATCGAGAAATTTGGTGCAAAATCGACGAGCTTCGCTAGAGTAAATAATCGATCATATACCTCACACCAATTCCATTCACATTTATTGCGGTCTCTAATTTCTCAACACATTCGCACACACAGACATACATTCAACGAAGAAAAAAAAAAGAGATAAAACCACCCGACCAACCTTTCGTCATTCATCACATTGAACCAGAATTGCCGCATCAAACAATCGAAATATGCAACAATAACAATTAAACGAAACACTCCGTAAACAAAATGGAAAAGTTTGTGGCCGCCTAAACATAACTTCAGAAGAATTTTCAACACGAAATGAGAAAAAAAAACTGCATTAAACAAAAACTAAAGGTAGTGTACTCGAATACCTGAAACCGTTCACCAATAAAATCGCAACGAAAACAACTTTTTTTTTCTCTCTCTCTCGTTTGCTTCGACCATTTCATTTTCGGCGGCCATGCCATCCCCATCTTTGCTTTGTAAGCAATGCTCACACATATTTCTGTACCGTAAAGTTTTCGTGATGAAAGAAAACTTTTGGAAAAAAAGATGAAGCAATGAGAAATGAAAAAAAAATAAATAAATGCAAACAACCGAAGAAAAAAAAGTAACGAGCCAAACATAAAGTTTTATTGTGTGAAAGCACAATTTGGTTAAAAAGACCAACTCGAACCGGTTCTCGAGCTTGAAACGGCCAATATGAGGAAATTGTCTATCAGCGAACGATGAACATCACCGAGAGCGAAATAGCAACAAAAAAGGGAAGATGTGTATGCGGCTCTAAAACTGAAATAAAGTTTAGAACAAAATCGTTTTAAATTAAGAGCAGAACAATGTGTTTTGCGATGGGTCAACGCGGTTTATTGGACTTTTGCTACCGTACTCTATTTTTTTTTCTTCATTTTCTCAAGAACAAACTCCCATGATCTGCCGCAAACACATTTGGTTGCCACAAGCTGGCGGTTATTAATTTTATGCAATCAAAGCAATTATTATACATCTGTTTTGCTCACGGCCGCTCAGTAATTAAAAATCTAATGGCAACGTGATTTTATTCCCTATGATTTTTTATTCACTCCCGCAACATTCTCGTTATAATTGCGTACTGTTTACGCTTGTGACTCTCAAGAGTGTGCTCCGATCGAGAAATTGCGTTTAATGAGTGGGAAAACGCATGTTTAGACTGAAGAGCTAAACATCCATTTTATTAGGAACAGGAACAAATAACAACAACAAGTTGCACAGAGCATAGCAAATGCAACTTCTGTCCCGATTACAAAACACTGTCTCAAACCTTGTGTCGCAACTCATTCACTCAAATCAAAGAGCATTACACTCATAGGCAAACATTTGGCCGCATGTATATGTCAATCGCTTTTCACTTCGTGGAAGCATGTGTGTATGTGTTGTGAGAATGGGTATACGAAAATGTGCTTCGAGTGGTCGCACTACTCTGCACCGCCAGTGAATGTCTCCTCGCTGTGTGTTTGTGTATTTTTTTCATGACTTTTTGATCATACACAAGTGTGCTACACATGTGAGATTTGACCGACATCGAAAGTAAAGCACTAAATTTAAGTTGTCTCTGCATTTTTCCGTGTCCCAGATAATTATCCGCCGAACTATTCTTGAAGTCGAAATTAAAAGAGACGACAACTCGCAAAAAATATTCCGATTTTATTATTGCACACTCTTTCGCTTTTCCGTCACTTCAGCACCGACAACGGCATAAGCAGCAGCTTATCTATAGAGAGTCCCGAATTTTAACGCGAAAAACAAATTTTTCGTACCATCTTACATAACACGAAACGTCGCAATACTTTTCATTTTCATCCCGACAAACTGAATTTATGCGATCAAATTCAACATTTCGATGGCTTCTTGAACAACATGGCATTATTTTGTTGCGCTTAGCAGTGAAACTTATAAATTTTTCAGGCGTTTTTATTCCCGCTTCAAATATTGTTCTTGTAATTGCAGTAGTATATAAATGCTTGCACATGAGATTTTTCAATTTCGGGATTATTATGTACAAAAATGTCGAAATCCACCAAAAATCCGCCCGCCCTCTCATTTGTTCGTTCGTTCGTTCGTGTACGCTTCCACCTCCCAAATGAAAAATGCATCGCGTCCACAGAAGCAGACCAAGAACAACGTCGTTGCTTGCTTGAGAAAACCAAAACGAACAAAGCAACTTGCGAAAACTTTTGCAAATACTTGAAATTTCCTGTCTGCAGCGAAAGAGGAAACATCAAGAAAAGCCGAGCACTTATATTTTTAAAATGTCATTTACGTAACAAATTGCACGACCAAAATTCAACTTGATGCAGCTCCAAATTCAATGACTCTCTCTCTCTCTCTATCTCTCTCTCTCTCTCTCTCTATCTCTCTCTCTCTCTCTCTCTCTCTTGCCCTCGCTCTTCCTTTCTCACTATCTTTTTCTCACATGCCGAAACCGGTCCAAACGATTGAATATAGCTAACGCGTGGCGAGAAACAGTACATGCATGCGTGATGCTGTTGTAGTTGTTGTTGGTCGATGGTGTTTCGTCGTTTGAATTGTTGTTGTTTTTAAGAGTTTTCTTGATTCTACTGTTATTTCTTGTTAATTTATTATATTCGTTGGAAAATGGTGTAATATTAAATACATTATTATGTTAGTAGTCGAATTCATCGCCGCTGATCGTTTTCATCAGTCAAATATACTCAAATTGAGGCACTCATTTCGAACCATGATTAACAAATACGGATGCACAATTTTTTTGTTCTCAGTTCATTCGCTATTCCTTAGGGGTTATTTTCTTCTCTGTTCTCCACTTGTTATCTATTTCTTTTTTTTTGTACAGTACACATCATAAAATAAAAAATAATTTCACACAGTCTAAAAGGTATCGCTCTCACTGAGCGGTGCACACAATGTAAACGGTCCTTCGTTACTTAGTATTGTATTTCCATTAGCCGAACAGCGGAACATTTTGTCTTGCAATAAAACTGCAATATCTTCATTTTTTTTAAATATATTTTCTGGTGAATGGTTGGTTTTATGTGTATATATTTTCTTTTTACTCTTCCATTTACGAACTCTTCTATCGTCTCTAACATTCGTGGCATGGAAGCGAATCTCTTGCACTCTTGCCGATCCGACCGAAGGGGAAAAAATATACCTACGTATTTTTTTTTTGTCGTTCGCTCTTTCTCAGAAGGACCGCGCCGTACCGAAAGTGTATGCTTCAGTTAATAATCATAATAAACGGTAATAAATATACGGATCTCATCAGAATGAAATCATCGTTATTGTTCAGGACAGCGACCGACTGGAGCCGCACCCGGCTCATATTCAGAACATTTCCGATCAATTGGTATTCTATCATCGTATAGTGTGGGAGCTTGTAGTATGATTCCAGCTGTGCCCGCTAAAACCGCTAACGTGAATATCCATAAAAATAACCGATCCAACACCATGGCTACGTATTTCCAATCCTCCTAACGAAGATGAAAAGAAAAACAAATATAAAAACAGAGAGAAAAAATATGAAAGAGGCAATTTTTCCATGACATTCAGCTCGAAAGATATGCCAGAACCGCAGAGAGCATGGAGTGTGCTCCTTACGAGTCGAGTCAAATGAAATACCTTGATCTGAAAGTAGAAGAGAAAGAAAAACCGGTACAAGATAAATGTTTGATGAGCAAAACGTAAGAAAACAGAAGAGAAGAAAAAAAACATATAATCTTTGTGCTGGATTCGGAATTCGACGTGGCTGTATATGTGTGCGATTTTTTCTTCTTTCTCCATCATTTTACACATTGAGATTGGGTGAGTCAAGCGTGCGATTTGATTTTCAAAGCTCACTTTCACAGGTACTCATAACCAATTGAAACAAGAGAGTAAAAAAGTGGTTGCACCGAGTGAAGAAAAATATATATCAAAATAAAGATAGTTTTCACGCCTTCCCTCATTTTCGTTTTTCTTTTTTTTTCCTTCATTGCACTCACTATACACCACCTGTACGTTATGTAATAGTGTAAGGCAAATGTAACCAATGCTTATGGATTACGTTCCTTTTTTCTAAAGCATTGCCTCATTCATAGTACTGTAAATGCGATGGTTGCGATTTTGAAAAGGTGGTAAACCATGGATCGTAAGAAAAGTTTGCTTTCGTAGCATAAACTAGTCGCAAATGAAAATAAAAGCGGAGCATGGAAAAAAGTGACAACGAAAGCAGAAGAATGAACGATTCGCGTGCAAATGTTGAGGGAAAAAACGCGAATCGAAGCGCACGCCATTCAGAGAGAGAGAGAGAGAATAGCAACTACTGGGGCAGCCGCGTTCGAAGCGTACACAGTGTGTACTACACACACTAAAAAGCAATTCCACTTTTTTTCGAGCTTACGTACATTGTTTTCAAAAGAAAATTGAAACTTTGTCGCTCAACAACATGAGCTTGACACTTGGTGGCCAGCACTTGCGGTGTGGCCACCGACTTTCACTGTTGTGCTGTTTTCCTTTTACTACCGTTTTCGGTTTAGCCAATTTAGAAAATCAAAAGCGACCTTTTGATGAAAGTGGCTCATCAAGGTGAAAAAAGAATATTGTTCCTTTTTTTGCGTCCTGTTCCTTTTCGTCTGACCGTATTGGATTTTACCTTTTCGTCGCCGTGGCTTTTTTCTCTTTCGGAGGGGGACCAACACAAAAACAATTGAAATTTGTTGCTATTTTGAATATTTCATGTTGCGGTTATTTTCTTACCTTTGTTGAATCCTCCAGTAATTTTGTGTGTTCAGCAATAAATCGTACACAGAAGCAGCTGCGATGGATTTCTGGTGGGCATTTTGAGTGTGAAAAGGCTGGATTATTAATAATTGGACTTTTAATGCCACCAGAAGCATTATCAATATCCGGCATATTTGATAAATCGTCTGACTCGGACTGAGGCATCGGCATGGAACCGTGAATTTGACAACTCCCAAACGGTCCGGATCTGCTTAAGCTGCTTAGCCATCGTGTCGTCGGTTTCCAACAATTATTATTCGGCCATAGTTAGTGTGTCATTGCCATGCAAACCGCAACACCATCCAGCCATTCACCGATTTTTCGTTGTTGTTATTGTAGTTTTTGGGGGCAGGCGAGGGGAAAAGAGAACGGAAAGAACGATTAATTTATGATTAGAAAAGTGCCAAATGAGAGCACAGCAATTATAACATTAACACAGCACTTTTTTCATTCTTTCTTCTTATGAAACATGCAAGAAAGAAATGTTTATCTCGAATAGTAGAAAGAAACTGAAAAAAAGTAGGAAAAAGAGAGAGAGAGAGAGAGAGAGAGAGAGAGAGAGAAGGAGGGAGAAGAAAACAGAGAGAAAAGGAAAAGAAGGATTAAGAAAAGTGAAATTACCTTGTTGGTGTTAAATCATCCTTAGAATGTGCTCGACTGAATTGCGAGCTTTGTTCCAAATGTGTTGTTGAATAATATGGATAAAAGCATACATGCGAATCGCCAAGCAATTTTCGGCTGTAAAAACAAATAAATTCAATTCTAATGGATTACCAAAGTGCACCGATACAATAGATATGGCGGATTAAAAAACGAATGAAAACAATTGAAAATGCCATAAATAACCAAAATGCAGAGACAAAAGCAATGCACACAAAATTTTATAGGAATTGAGAAAAACGAAGAAAAAAAAACGGATGATTGGAACGGAGGAGAAAAAGAGAGATAGATAGAGAGATTGAAAACAAAAAGAGAATTGGAGAAATGGACAAATAAATGGCAATGACAATGAACGAATTAAATCCGAACAAAATCCAGAGAGTTGTGTTGCAGAGAACGAGATGTGCAATGAATGTATCGAATCAATTAAAATCAATTATTTACCTGGTTTCGAAATTGTACTGCGGTCGTTTGATAAACAACAATTTCGGTAAAAAGTTTATGAACACTTTTTTTACCCACGGCGCCATCCTATACGTACAGATATACGTTTACATTTTCGATATGTTAGAATCATGTTATTGCCCAACATATTGTTATGTTGGGATGGTTTTTAACTTAACAACGTTAAGATTTTGCACAATAATTACATGTTATCTTACGAATTCTGTTTGAAATTTTCTTAACAATCAAAAGACGAATTCACACATAATTCGTAAGATATCATTCCGATATGTTGATAACATAATGGGACGTTATGTGTTAAATTACACCAAAAATATCGCCGTTATTATTATGTTATTAAGTATAGTTAATAATATATTATTGCGGTTAAATCTGTACCTATGCGTTTGAGGTGATCGAAAATGAACGTTGAGCACTACCACTGTGACACAAATGCTGCAGCATCATAAATACATCCGATTGAACGACAACAACGACAGCCGACGGGCGACCAACGGAGCAATTTCCCATTGCAAAGCCATATTCAGCAAATGAAATGAGCACATTTCACACAAGCGATGTAGACAGACATAAATACAGAGAGATAGAGAACACAAAAAAAATATGATCCGTTTGAAAATTTACAATCAAATACAGATGTGATTTTCGTTCGTTTTATGCAAAATGTTTTTTTTTTCAGATTTTGTTTGCGGCTGTCATTGTTTTTGTTGGTTTCTTTGGCAATAAAAAAAATACGAAGCTGTCCATGTTGCGAGATTGTTTTAATGTGAAAGATAAGTGGAGGAATTTGGTGGTCCAACGACGACAACGACAACGTCAGCGACGAAAGCAACCATAACAAAAACAAAACCAAAAAAAATGTCATGTTAAATAAACACCAAAACAATACAGTGAATTTAGTTCATTTATCATCGAGAATTATCTTATGGGACAGTGAAAAAGTATTTGTTTCCCCTGCCTGTCACTTTTGTTTTAGTTTTGTTGTTGTTACTGTTGTTGCTGTTTCTGTTACTGCTGTTGTACACATCGCCTCTCCTGGCTTCTAATCCGGCTATCTCCCTTTTTTTTCGAACGCAGATAATATGACAATAGAAAGTGCAATTCATTTATTTCGTCTTTCGGCGCATCGAGCTTTCAATTCGAATGGTGTGGGTGCAAAAGAGCGAATAATAGCGGCATCATTGAGTCTGAAGTGTTAACAGGAATGACAGCTGAAGAGGTGACAAAAGGAACAAACGAACGAATCAGCGAACAGCAGGCAATGTGGAAGAGTCCCAGAGACAGAAAAAGGGCCACCGCACAAGAAATCACTTGTACCGAGAAGCCATCCGTAAGAAATTGTGGAAATTTGTCCCAGTTGAATTGAATGCGCTGTGAATCAGTACTGTATCGACTACGATTCAACACAATTTCAAAATCTATGCAGAACACAGTATCTCTCTCCCTTGTATCTGGATGGGACGATGAGTTGTCAGGCAAGAGAAAGTGACTCTCTTTTTTGTCGCATGTTGATGTTTCGGACAAACGGAGGGTGCTTCATTTTCCTTTTTCGGTTTTTGTTTCACTTTTTCTATTCTCGGTTATCTTGTGTTTTCTCCATCCCAATATGGTTGCAGTAATAACTATAACAATCGTACGTGAACGTATTGGAAATGGTGTTTTTTTTACCACACTGTTTTTAGTGGATATATTTGCGTAGATTGTGTTTGTGTGTTGTTTGAGAGTGCTGTGAGCGTTCGCTTTCTCGCTAGTGTTGTGTGCTGATTGTGAGTTTGGGATACACAATTTTTGTTGTGGATGGTTTACCATTGTTTTGCTAGCTCTAGCGAAACGTGCCCAATGAATGTGTGTGTGCAGATATATCTCGAAGATGCCAGCAAATAGTATTTCATAGCAGGATGGATAAATTGTTGCAACGCTTGGCTGATTACACATTCTATTTAATTCACGAATCGCCGAAAATAGCTGGATATTCTGCGTGAATGTGTTTGGGATAAGAAGCGAACGACGAGAGTGGGAGAAAGATGACAGAGCGGGCAAAGAGAACGGAACACAAACGAAATGAATAAGAAGCATCGAGCGCATTCCCTCGTCGTTGCCAAACTAAAATTAATTTGTGCGCCAACCTTAATGGCAAAGTTAATAGATATTTGTTCCACTTGGCTAGGTAAATATTATTTTTAAATGTTAGCTGCAGCAACATTGAAGATTCAAATAAATGAATTGGGCCGGTTGTTTTCTTGATTTATAGCTTTCAACGTCGAGCGTACGGTTTGTCGTTATTGCCGGTTGGTTTATTTGTGTATTTGTGATCTATGATGAAATGCGTTTCTCACGTGCTCACAACTGACGTGAGAACCCGGTTATCATATCACACAAAATGGTGGCAAGCTTGATTTGTCGTTCAACAGCGATCTGAACGTGTTATCTAATCAGAATCCACACACACACACTACGTTGTAATGATGAAAATTGCGATTTTTCCGTCTCTACTTCGCGCGACATGGTTTTTTTTATTGCTCTCATCGCACATAATAATATATGTAATTTATTACGATGGGCAAAATGATGCGCGCACGAAACGAAATTGGAAGAGCGAGAGGAGGAGGGGATGAACAAAGTAACAATTGTATATGATTTGCCGTGTAATTTTATAAAAGGCCACACACAACATACACAAAAGAGACGAGCACAAGCTATGAATTTTATCGTGCATCGAATTTTTCTCTATGCCTTATACAGCTTTGGCCTGAGTTCGCTTCAATTTTTTCTTGTTCATTCGTATTATGTGTATTGCCGGAGTGTGTTTGCTGGCTTTTGTCTCTCAGTCGCAGAGCTTTTAGCCATAATTTTTGATGATTCGCAAATGCAGGCCACGTTCGATGGATTCACCTCATTGAGAAAAGTTTCATATTTGCCTTCCGTGACATTTACTCATTTTTCCTTTGCTTTTCTTCTTCGTCGCTGCTTTATTTCAACGCCGCACACCACTCACATAACTAGTTTTATTTTTGGCTTCTCTCTCTCCCTCTCGGTTCATTTCGTGTATCTATCTGAAACCGGCTTGCAACGAAATATAGTGAAAATTGTCTTGAGCATGAACTACACAACGGCGACCGAAATATTAATAAGGCAACAATTCGGGCGCACGTTTTGTTTAAGCTCAAATTTGGAAAATTGAACTTTTATCAGTTTACATTTTGAAACATCGAAATCTGATTACATTCGATGGATACATTTTAACGACATTTCGGTGTATTCCAATTGAAATCTGATTATTTAAACGGAAGCCGAAGCTCGATAGCAGCTGCAGGGGGAATAATTGCAACCCGGTTCATTGTACATTGTACATTCATGCACATCGATATTCATGCACATAAAAAACCGTAAACTTTGTAGTGTGAAACTCTCGTCTGCACCCAAGCTGCTGCTGTTACACACGCGACGCGCGACAACAACAATGCACAGGATAGATACAGCTAGTAGCAAACAAACAAAAAAAACGTCAAGTGCGATGAACAATATTCAACAGACGCACACAAAAAAGCATTAAATGTCATTTTCGAATATCGCTCAAAGTGATCAACTTATAATTGAAAACGTGGTAATCAATTGCGAAGCCCCAGTCAAACAATCTGGTCCGTATTTCAAAGGAATTATTGTAATCCGTTTAGCGATTTTCATGTTTTGTTTTTGTTTTCTCGCTGGTTTTTTTTCTGGTGATGGTGAGTGTTTCTCTCCTCTGCTGTTTGTCCAACTTAATGGATATTTCAATTTTTATTCAAGTTCTGTTACCTAGACGAATGAAGAAATGAAAAAAAATAAAGAAACTAAGGCGAAACTCATGTTTCACAAGCTCAGCACTTCATATGCCTTGAAGAAGTACAAGAACCACTACACCATCATTGGTTTTTGTTATTTGTCAGCTCTACTTGCATTCAACGATGCAAATTGCACTTGCCGTCGAACATTTGTGAAAATTTTCGAATTTAAAGTGGCAGCCGTCATACAGGCACACACACACACACACACACACAAACATAACTTTTGTGCTATGGGTCAATGAATAAATGAATGATCAACAGACGTGCACTAAAGTGAGTCCTTGAGCGTTGAAAAATCATTTGCGTGACGGAAAAACCAATTTAAAATCACACGGAAACTTTTCGCTCGAGCAAAATGGTTGAATTTACCTGATGGAGACAAGGATCATAGCGAATATCAAATATTTTCCCAGCAGAGGAACAACCAGTGATGTTGGCGGTATGATTTCGACAACCAGCAAGAAGAACACGTGGAGACTAATAAGAATCGATATCGAAAGCGTTACCTGCAGATAAGAAAAGATTGGAAAAAACGAGAAGAAAAAAACATCAAGAACAACGTGAGTGAAAAATGTGTGCTGTAAGCTAAACAGACAGCGGCAAAATGTCCGAGAGAAATGACACAAAAGTAGGAACAAAAATTATAAAATAGATGCAAAAAAAATGAAGTACTTCCAAAAAAAAAAAAAAGAATACCTTTCAAAACAACAACGAAAATTTAAGTTTGTCTATGCGGCCCGTGCGAGAATGATGGAAAGAGGGTGCACGAAAGTGGAAAAGTACTTAAAAGTTAAAATCAAGTTGAAGTTATGTTGTCATTTAATGCAAATACTACTGCTAGTAAACGCTTCGCAACAAAAGCAAATGATGAAAGGCGATGAAGAAGAAGTCGATGCAAATGGAACAAATTCAACGAGCAACACGAAGAAAATAAGCAAAAAGAAATGTTTTTCGTTTGAAATATTTCAACGGGAAAAGTACTTACCTTTTCGCCACTATCAGATGGCAAGTAGAACGTTAGCACCGTTAAAAAACTAATGCCCATGCAGGGGATGATTATATTCACAGTGTAGAATAACGTTTTTCGTCGCATCGTTATGTTGAATGTGATGTCTAAGTACGGTTCATCGCAGCATGTGTAGAATTTTTCATTTCTGTGAATGACAAGTTTGTATTTACTTTTCGTTCGTTGTTGTTGTTGTGGTTTTCGTCATTCGAGCTAGGATTTACATGTGAGTGGTCGTATAGCGATCATGTGTCTGTATGTGTAGTATGCGTATTTCTGCGCTCATACATGAATTGAGAGTGAGCTAGTGAAACAGCGTGGCCTGGTCGAATTCCATGAAAATTTATTGTTCGAACCAAGTGGATGTCACGAAGAAAAATGCAATTTCCTTTGCATCGTGAAAAATCTGCTGTGCGAATATTGTTACAAACGACAGAATACCAATGTGAGTGACAGAGAGAAGCAGCAAATAGAAAGAGTGACTCGGAAAAAATGGGTTCAAAATCGTGGCTCTTATTTCCATTCACGTCGTATGTGTATTTTTACATCCGCATAGCTGAATTGGCTTATTATGTTTCACAATTGCTCGTTTCATATTTTTCATAGGTAAAGTTTGTTTTTCTTTCTCTCTCTCTCTCTCTCTCTCTCTCTCTCTCTCTCTCTCTCTCTCT